CCCAGTATAGTACAGCGCCATCTATCGACCACTATGCAAAGTGCAAATATGAATGAGATATTTGATACATATAAGTTTGTATAGTAAAATCGAAATGTTACAGGTGATTCCAAATTATATCCAACATATATTATTTAATGTTTGAACAAAAGCCACACAAGCATTTGACAAAGACACATAGTTGTTTATTTGAATGCTGTAATCTAAACATATCTGATTGTTAGATATTTTTCATTATTGAACATAGTATATTTGTGTTAATTTAAAACTTCAATACATGTACAGGTAATAGTAATAAGTATTATACAGTTTCACTGTTTGTACAAAGTTCTTGCACTAAGTCCTTAATAAATGACTGAAGGTTTTTATAATTTGTATGAATACAATGAATGGACAGGTTAGTCAAATGCAAGATACATTATATAAAAGGTCTGGACTACTATCTCAGTAAGTTAAGCAGTTACATGTATAAGTAATAGGCACTGCAGACATTTTTGTTTGTAATCAATCTTTCATCTATCTATTGAAAGGTTAAGGTCAACAATCAATACAGAGACAGTTACCTTCATAATTACTTATAAGACATGTTTATTATGAAAATATTAATAAAGCAAATAATATTTTCTACTGTTTACTTTCATATATTTTCATTTATTGAGCCTAATTGTTGACTTTGTTAGTTAAATCATTGAAGAAAATATCTATGTCATTAGAGGATAATTCTTATTGTTTATGGACTTTAGAAGATGGTGGTAAGCAAACCATAAACTCATTTTTTTGGCTTGTTTTCCAAGGTTTGGTAATTATCAAGAGCTTTATAGATCTGAGCACTACCCTCAAAGATAAAAAAGGAAAACATTCTGCTAGTACAGTGGACAAACTTAAAGAAGGAGAAATGTATGTACTACCTGGTACCTAGTCAGCTAGTAATGGTTATATATTTATTTATTTATTATAAGGTGGGCTCACAGCTTATGTATACAAAGTGGTTTAAAGTAATGGTTATAGGCAGTAGTAGTTATAGGCAGCATTAGCCAGTTACGAGCTAACCAACATTCTAAAAATTATGTGTTTATACAATCAAAATATATAGAAATTAAAACTAGAACTAATTAAATTAACATAGGTAAGACAACAGTATTAATATGACAGAGAGGGGAAAATGATATTGGACAACTGATTGTATTCTTATAAACAGCATGCTTCATGTCAATCAAACTTATAACTGTTGAAATAACTGTTTGAGAAAAGGAAGTTGGTTGATCTAACTTGAAATGATGATATATGAATATATGATACATGCTAGACTATAAATAATGGATTTAAAAAGCAGATTCATACCATTTTTATAATCTCTGGGTAAACAGGTTCGGTAAGCACTCCACGTCCTGCAGTGATGTACTCTACAAGCTCATTGAGGGTGGCACGTTTTATCTCTTTCCCCTTCAGATCGGCAACAGGGTCCATAAAATCAAATGCCACACAGCATTGTCGAAGCTTGCGGATAAATAACTCTTCTTGCTCACTGCTTGGAACATCTGAAAACAATTTAATCACAATGAGAATTTCATATATGTCATTAAGTATTGGAAGGATAATATACAATATATTTATTTCATAATTTTCCCATAGCAATGTGTGGGAGATGGGTAATTACAGAATATAAATTGAAAAAGGTTTTAGATAATGTCTAATGGGATGATCAACTTAAAAAGATAATAAATAAAACCTTTGTTCCTAATATATTGACTTTGTCTTTATCATTTTTTAATTACTATTAATAGTTTCTATATGATTGATAGTACAAAATTTTATTCCAAAAACATGCTAATTATACAGTTCATTTGTTAATAAGTATTCATATTCCTTATCTAAGCTTTTTATTTCTTATTGGATGGATTGGATATCAAAATGATTGAGGTAATGATCTTATCTCAATTGTAACTAAGTAGGTAGGCAACTACTCTCATTTCAGAACAGTTTGTTAATTTGTGTTTCAAACTATTTACTATTAATACCTAGCCAACCAGAATTGCCAATCCAAATTGCTTATTTAACCATTCAGATAAATAAACAATTAAAGTAGAATACAATTAAACAAGTTCAGATTCCAAAACCAAACAGTTGTTATGATAGACACTACCTAAAAATTATTTAGTTTGCAATGTTCAACCTTATAAACAATGCATTTATTTTTGTAAAAACACCCTAATACAGCACTAACTCATCAACTTTATCTATATACTAGATGAGAAAAAGAAATCTTGAAACAAATTATGGGCTATTTAGGTAATGCTAATTCTAGGCTTATTCAAGTCATTGTAGTGAAAACTAGAATTAGTAACACTACAAGCACAAGAGTATCTTTACAAATATTCTTAAAGTAAGATTCAGTAGATATTCAGTGATGTGAAACTGAATGGTACTCATATTATGAGGTGCATCAACAATTGATACAAGCTAATATGAAACTAACACTGCCACCTTAATCTTAAGGCATTATAGGTGTTTGTTTCTATTTTAATGGACTGTATCCCAGTCAACATCCTTTTTATGTAAACAAGGTTTTATTCCTAACCTATTTGCATAATTTAAACAAAATTCAAGGCAAAAGTTCAATGCACTGGCAAAATAAAAATAAAATAAAATATTGAGTCAAAAGGCATTTTTAACAATAAAAGTGTTACAATAAACTACAAATAGCGCTAGTGATTCACTTTAATCAGGACAAAATAAATGGTACGCACCTTTGAGCAAAGGCAGTGCCTGCAGCTCTACATCTTGCGTGTTCCGATACCGTGAAGAACCCTGAGACTTCTTCGTCTTTTTCTTCATCGACCGCTTGGCGAAAGGGTCAATTCTGTCCACAAATGTTCCCGAAGACATTTTGGTAATATAAAAGTGTCCCAAATGACGATAGGTAGACGGCAATCAATGCGAAAATTGTTTTGTTTCAAGCAGAGTCATGATCTGGCCCAGTCCACGAGTCGAACGCGCACTTTCCGTAGGATGCACAATATTAGAGCCTAAACAAACAATTCTTCGTCACACATGACGGTAATGGAGTGGTCACACTCAGGCCATTCTTTAAACACTTCAAGATTCCACAACAGTTACGTAATTTAAAACCGTCTATATCACTAAAATGACACAAATACAGAAAAGAATAATTCGATTCACAAATTTAGATTTATTTTCTGAGGCGTGTCACGAATAGCAGAAGGCAGAAGTCGCATATACATACAAGCCTCGTGTAATATCAGCCGGTCAGTCAATGACAATTTATTTTCTACAATAATCGTAAGAGATTTTTAAAGATTTGCTCGTAATAACGCGTAAAACAGCGACTCAAAACGGTATTCGTCTTTCCTGGACGTAATCGGAAACTATAGCGATGATGACACGGAGCAAAACTTAACACCAAAAATCTATCACCGTATTCTCGCCATCGCTCACCATCAGTTTCGATTCTAAAACTGGGCGCATTTTAACGCTATACACAAGTTTATTTAAAGATGTTGCACTTTCACAAGACTAATCCAACGTATATGCGACTTTTTTCACAACGAGAAGCGATCAATTTACAAAATTTGTAACTAAAAGATTAACATCACTGGTTTGCTGCGAAAACGCTACACTCATACAAAAGTACCTACTTCTGAAAATAGATGGAGATAGAAAATGTTCAGTTAATCAGTCTGCATACTTTTTATTGAATTTATGATGTTTTTCTAAAAAAAATGTATGGTTAATAAATGAAATGATACTATGATGTAAAAAAAGGTGCAATATAAATAAATTTCACAAAAGTCTCTTTTTACTATAAAAAGATTCTAAAATGTTTATACGTGTTCCGGTTGTAAAACGGAGCTATGTACAGATTATTAAAAAAACTAAGTATAGACTATAGACAACCACAGAATTACTAAAATAATATTTACTGTGTATTATTTTATCTAATTAAATTTCACAGTAATGTAATATAATTTTAGTATCATTATCGCTATTGAAAACTGTGATTAGATATGTGTTTTTTTACTACTAACTTCAAAAGACAGACGAATCAAACCAATTCGTTCAAATCAGTTTTTTTTTTATTTTAAAATATAACTTAATCATTCTTTACCTCAATCAACATACCCATAAGTGATTTGATGACCCTACATATAAAAGGTCAACGTATTTTGGTATAAGAATATAAAACAAATTTTTGGAATTGTATAAGAATACAAAACATATTTTCAAACATGGCTCTTGGACCCTTAGCCCATTCAGTTAAATGAAAGGAAACCTATCTATCGACCCCTTATTTGCTTCATAGTGTTTATATTTCTGATATAGGCGAATGTATTGCTTATCCACCCACTTAAAAATTCGCCCTCTATTTTAAATTGATTTTGTTCGTGTATGTAGTTATATACCGAACGACGTTCTCTTTTAAATTCTACATTCTCTATGGTATATTATTCAGCTTTAGAGGAAAGTAGCTTTCTAAAAATTTTACTTCGGTATTACGTACGCGTATTGGTTTATTTATATCATTTGAATTTAAGTTTACGCCTCAGAAAAAGTTATATGTTGTGTGTGTTGTGAAATATAAAAACAATTAGTTACTGTGAGCTGTTGGAAAAGGGTAATTAATTTAGAAAGCAACATGGAAGCGCTGACAGTTCCGCCATGAATGCAAAATAAATAGAAATTGTAAAGGTAAGAAATTCATGTATTTACTTTTTGTTTTTCTTTTTAACACTTGCTACATAAGTTTATTGTTTGAAATCATACTATTATATCCCTTTAACGAATTAAAATTATAACTCAATCTTGCTTATATGTCACGTCGAAAGTCTCCCGCAGTAGTTTGATTCTTGGGTGTTCATTTGATTTTACATTAGTTCGTAGAAGTTCGTTAACAAAAGTTGTGCAGTAACAAATGAATAATAAAATGATACATTTGAAAACACGCTCAAATTCAATTCTTTTACGCCTTTAAATATTTTTTCAGAAGCTGGACGTCACCTTGAACAGGTCAGAAACTTCACGATGTTGAGAGGTGGGCGTGGAGGCCGTCACAGTCCGGAGCTGTACCCCCACACGCTGAAGTGCTCCAACGCCAGTGACACCAGTTCTGCTTACAGTGGAAGTGACACAATGACCTCAGTACATAGCTCTCTGGACATGGATATGGAGGTGGACCTCTCAGGTCTCCTCGAGTCCATTGTTGACTCTGATGAGGAGGAAGATCTGGAAGAAAGTATGGACAGCCTGACAGTCCGAGATGCAGTCCGAGAATGTCTTGAAAAGGATCCAAGTGAACGGAATGATGAGGATATAGAAACACTTTTGGAATTTACTCAACATTTGAAAGCATTCACCAATATGACTTTGACAGTGCGTCGGGCTTTGTGTGCTGTCATGGTATTTGCTGTGGTAGAAAAAGCTGGCACAGTAGTCATGAATGATGGAGAAGAACATGACTCATGGTCTGTTCTTATTAATGGCCATGTCAGTATTGAACATCAGAGTGGTGAAGTGGAGCACTTGAATGTTGGTGATAGCTTTGGGATGGCTGAAGCTACACTTGAGAAATTGTATCATAAAGGTGTAATGACAACAAAATGTGATGACTGTCAGTTTGTTTGTATTACTCAAACTGACTATTATCGAATACTCCACCAAGGTGAAGAAAATATCAGAAGACATGAAAATGAAAATGGTGTAGTAGTAATGGTTACAGAATATAGAGGTGTGGCTGGAGAGTCAGGACGACAACAGGGTCATGTTGTTATTCGTGGAACTCCAGAACAATTGATGCTGCAGCTCATTGAGGATAACTCACGAGATTCTACATATGTTGAAGATTTCCTGTTAACACACAGAACATTCATTGAAAGTCCTTTAGTTGTAGCAAAACAACTATTAGCATGGTTCTCTGAGCCGACAGTCAGGGACAAAGTTACTCGTGTTGTGCTGCTTTGGGTCAACAATCATTTCACTGACTTTGAAACTGATTCAACAATGATGGAGTTTCTTGAAAACTTTGAGATTGCATTAGAGCATGAAAAGATGGAAAGTCAATTAAGGCTGCTAAACATAGCTTGTTCAGCTAAAGCTAGAACAAGGAGTGTTACATTATCTCGCCCAACAAGAGATGAACCATTGAACTTCACAATATTTGGTGGATATGAAAGGGGTTATGGGATATTTATTTTTAAAGTGGAAAAGCATTCAAAGGCTGAAGATGTTGGATTAAAAAGAGGTGATCAAGTCTTAGAGGTGAATGGACAATCCTTTCAGCATGTGAGCCATGCTAAAGCAATGGAAATAATTACTGGATCAACACATTTGAGCATCACAGTGAAAAGTAATTTGTTAGCTTTTAAGCAAATCTTATTAAAGCCAGAAAATTCACCAAGACAGAGAGGAGGTTCAAATAGAGTTCATTGGCACACTGATCCTAGGGCCAGATTATCAACTGCAGAGCTACTCAATGATGATCCCATTACATTAACACCAGTATTTCAATCTCCCACCAAGAAACCTCAACAGCTGAGCATCAAGAAAGAGCCACAGAAAGGTTTCATGACATTGGGACCTAAGAGAAAATTTCAAAAGGCTTTAATGAAAATTCTTCCCAAAACTACAATTATTGATGGTTTACCAACTGATGACAGTATTCTTTCAAACTCAGAGTCTTTAAACAAAGCCAATACTAGTACTTCCTTTTATAACTCTCACAGTAATCCTGATTTAATATCAATATGCTATGATGAATATCAATCCTCTGATTACCCAGAGCATGTACTCAAAGTGTATAAAGCTGACCAAACTTGCAAATATTTGCTTGTGCATAAAGAGACTACAGCAAGAGAAGTTGTAATGTTGACTTTGCAAGAATTTGGTATCACTGATCCGAGTTCTAAATATTCATTGTGTGAAGTGTCTGTTGCCCAAGGTGGTATCATTAAACAACATCGTTTACCAGATCAGTTACAGAATCTTGCAGAGAGAATTGGTCTCAGTTCTAGGTACTATCTAAAAACTAATGGAATATCTGAGAACTTAGTACCTGATGACATGGCACCTGAACTTTTAAGGGAAAGTGTTGTTCACTTTCTGCAATTAAATGCTGTGGAAGTTGCAGTGCAACTAACATTACAAGATTTTTGTATATTTCGCCAAATTGAGAGTACTGAGTATGTTGATGATCTATTTGAATTGAAAAGTAGGTATGGCACACCTATGTTGTCGCAATTTGCGGAACTTGTCAATAAAGAAATGTTTTGGGTCGTCACTGAAGTTGTTAACGAACAGACACTAGCGCGGCGACAAAAAATAATTAAACAGTTTATTAAAGTTGCGCGTCATTGTAAAGAGTGCAAAAACTTTAATTCTATGTTTGCAATAATATCGGGTTTGGGTCATGGCGCAGTGTCTAGATTAAGGATGACTTGGGAGAAACTACCAACGAAATATTTAAAATTATTTAATGATCTGCAAATGCTAATGGATCCCTCACGAAATATGTCTAAGTATCGTCAGTTGGTTACTACTGAGCAGGGTAGATCGCCCGTTATACCATTTTATCCAGTGGTTAAAAAAGATCTTACCTTTATCCATTTAGGAAATGACACTAAAGTCGAAGGTATGGTCAATTTTGAAAAATTGCGAATGATTGCTAAAGAAGTTCGCACACTCACAAATATGTGCAGTGCTCCATATGACCTCCTTACGTTACTGGAGTTGGGTAAGCAGCCGCCCTCAAATGCAATGGTCGCATTGAATCAACTTACCACTGGAAGTGTACAACAAGGGCAAGTTACTGTGAAGAGAAGGAAAAAGTCTTCGAATGTACCAAATCCGAAAAAGATGTTTGAAGAAGCGCAAATGGTTCGACGTGTAAAAGCATATTTAAATAGAATGCATGTTGAAACTGATGAAGAAAGACTCCACGCATTGTCTTTAGAATGCGAAGGAGCAGGACCAGCCCCGGCTATCCCACGGCGACGACACCCATCACCATCTTTGTCAACGACCAGCAGTGCATCATCAGCCAGTGAGAGCAAAAAGAGCTTTGCTGGTAATAAGTTTGGTACTGCATCACCTCAGGCGGTTAGAAAGCTCTTGGCTTTATCAGAACCAGCCAAAACACGACCACACCAACCTCGGCCCCCACCACCTGGACCTTCGCCTTGTTCACATCGACGCGATGGCCCTGGTCCTGGCATATGTTGTCCTCGGACAGCTCATGAGAGATCCCACTCTGATACCCCTACACCACTACCAGTCGACCTATCGGCTGAAAGTAGTAGTGTTACATCATTAGTTAACTTGCCACTACGAAAAACTGGGTCTGCTACTTCGAGCGACAGTGGACACGGCTCGTGTACCGCGGCGAGTTGCGCGCGGCCCGTGCCGCCGCCGCGCATGCCGCAGGCTCCTTATAACTTGGCTGCTCAAGTGGCACGCCTCGAGCGACTAAGTAGGGCGCATTCTCATGAAGGCGTCACACGCCCCTATGATTATTATCATGACGTGCCTGATGATGACGATGACGATCAACAAGTATCAGCTGTTTAAATATTTTAATACTCTAACTCAATGTCTATTTATATAGTTCCCTCATTCCCTATTTTGTAATCTCACATAATAAATAGAAAGCACGAGTTATGTGAAAACATTTAATATATTATTAAAATCATGTATGTACCCTTTACAACTAAGTCTAAAGACTGTATAATTATGTTAAGAATTGTGCTAGTGTTATGTAAAATTCCATATTATAAGATCCTAATTATTAATTACAATCATTTGACCCACCAGTTTCCAGTTTTATCTAGAGAAGTGTGATGTATACCAATAATAGGTGTACTATTTATTATAATGTTGGTATATCTACATTCCGTTATTTGTATATTATAAAATAATAGTTTTCTTTATTTATAATTGTGAAACTTAGACCAAATAATAATTAATGTACCTTTTAACATTTATAATTGAAAATAATTTTGTTGTAGTATGTATTTTGTGGTAGCTTTGTGGACCAATTGGGTTTGAATGTGGTTTCTCATGGTCGTATCAAATTCTGTCAATATCATGATTTTTAATTATTATTACGTGTAATTGTAAATAATAAAACTATATTAATTAAACTCTTTATATTTCTTTTATTCATAACAATGTTAAACATTTTAGAATAATATTTACGTAAGTCAACTGCCTGATTGATTAAACTGTGCTAGATAGTCCAATTCCAACGGATGTAAATTGGGAGCGGGAATGACGAGACTGTGTAGCGGCGGGCCGAGGTCAAAGTTTTGCATTGCGTCGAGTGTCATTACGGCTATCCGCTGATCGCTGGCTCCTACTCTAGAGAGCCCGATTGCCGTACTGCTTTTGCTTATGCCTGATTAACATGAGAAAAAGTATGTGAATAAAAAAAATATAAATTATTGCCTATCAAATTCTTGTAGGTAATATGTATGGGTTTCGAAGACGAAAAATCGATCTAACTAGGTTTCATTTTCATCAAAAAAATACCTAGCAAACTCAAAAAACGCGTCAATTATACCTACTGCAAATTTTCCAAATTTCAAACTTCTTTTAAAGCGCCGCCATTATATATGAACCGGTCTGGTAAATTAACGTAATCTTGTTATAAGAAGCATGAGAACCTAATAGATGGTACTCAAGATTTGAAAGTATTTCAAAGGCATCTTTGAAATATTTACAGTTTTGATCACTGTCTCGTATCTATGTATGAAAATATAATTGAACGCGTTTTTGTTTACATCTGAGGGCGTAGTTTGGATTCAGTAATCAAGCATAGCGTTCAATTAAGAGTACAACATTTTTGTAACTAAATAAGTACCTACCTATGTTCAACAAATAAATTATTTTGATTTAATTTGAAAGAATACATAGGCACAAAATATACCTTTGTCTGGATGATTTTCAATGATCTGCACCAATTGATTTGCTGCTTCCTTTACAGACATGAACTTTGGGTCCATGTACTGTCGAACTTTTTTTGTAAGTGACTCTTCCGTAGGTTCCTTTACCTTTATATCTGCAATGTAGTAAAATAAAACTAAGTAACAATAAAATAAATGAAAATATTTTCAAATACTTTAATTCTCTAATGTTGCTGCTTTTATAAAACATATTTATTTACTTTCTTGATGATGATGTTTGGATTAAAAAAAGGACAGGAACCTTACCTAATAAGCAAAGAGTATGCAAGTTTCTTGAAAAATTGCCAACTACTTTGTCAAAGAAGCTATCAGGCTTCCATTTGTCTGTCCAATAAGGTATTGAAACGGTTTCACCAAAATTGTATAACTGCAGGCCACAGCAGCTCACAGCATTCATGATTGAGGCATTGTGCACAATCTGAAAACATTAATAAATTCATCTATACTAATATTATAAAGAGGTAAAATTTGTAAGTTTGTATGTAGGGGGTAATCTTTGGAACTGCTGGACAGATTGCCAAAATTCTTTCACTGAATAGCTAAAATAGCTACAACGCTACTACAATAGATAGCTAAAAAACCACGCGAGAGTAGCTGGTATTAAATAGAATGATTGTATCTAAGGCCTGTTTTCATTTTGTAAAAAGTGGCAATTAATTATAACTTATACAGTTTTCTTATTCAAATTTTGACATGAAGGGTATAATCTTGATTTCTTTTGTTGCCCCACACTAGGATATTTCTATTGTATTGTGGGTGTATTTACAAACACACAGATCACACCCAGACAAAGAACAACAATTTATGGATCACAAAAATGGTAGTTCTGAGTGGGAATCAAACCCGGTACACATTGAGCAGCTGCCAGTTACCCAGCCACTGTGCCAACTGTGCAGTGATGTTTTGATTAGCATTATGCCATTAGAAAATTGTGCAAAACTTTTTCTCATTTTTAAATTTGTAGAAAAACAGTTTTGTACAAAGAACAAGAACTTACTGATGTAAATCTTTAATTCTAATTAAGTGTAAGTAGAAGTACCTGTGTTTGCACACCAAACTGTTTAGCTCGCAGCAACATGTCAGTATGTGTAGTAGCTCCCAATGGGTCACCTACAACTAGCAAGGCAACTTCTGATTCCTTTGCTTCAAGTAAAATATCATCTATTGCACCTTCACATAGTTCCCGGTCGGCTATTATTAATGGTCGGCCATAATATTCTTCCTGAAACAATTAGTGAAATAGTTTATAAACACCCAAAATTATGATTGTTTTATAGCAAGATTGTTTTATACAAGCTCTTCTGTAGTATAAAATTTTCAAAAGGTTGGTACAATATAAAATAATATGAAATCATATCTTCTAAAAATGGGAAAGTAAAACTTTCGACAAAAAAAAGGATTTTATCCTTAACTTTTCTTTTCTAGATTTTTTTAATCACTTTATTAAATATAACAAGAAACGATCATTTCAATAATAGCAGTCCACTATTCAGTACACTTACCAAAACCTCTTTTCCAACAGTGAGTATTGAAGTATAACCTTCCAGCAATACCTTGTCACATTTTTTTACAATTTCTAAACCTTTCACAGTTATATCTTTTGCGTCACCTAAGCCTAGACCTATTAGGTAAAACATATTTATACTTAAATTAATAAATCATACGAAAACATAAAACAAGATATTTATTTTGTATAATACAGTCCGCATGTGTACAAAACGCACTAGGTTCTATAAGTTGACATTACACAACACAATGATTGACATGAAGAATGACACTGACAGGTCAAGGGTTTCTTAACTGGCGTCCTCATTTCTAGTTCTTACTAACTACCAAAAATATTTTAATCAGACAGACAGCCAGATCAAATTGATTGTTATTCGCCGGCTCAGTGGCCGACCTGTGATATAAAAAAAAATCACCCGAGAGGCAACCAGCAGCCCCAGTCAATTTTTGCGGAACACAATATACTCTCAATTTTGAAAGGATAAAGAATGGGAAGTTTACTACCAAAAATATACAACTAAGATTTGCAATGGTAGCACTGCACAGAACATCAAGCTGCTGATTAGCTTAAAGGACTTATATCCAGGCCATAAACTAAAAAAAAAAAAACAAGCTGCTGATTTGTTTTACTATAAGTATACTACTGTATTGTATAGAATAAAATTATAGAAATTTGTGATAAATATGCATTGTTTTAAACGATTACGATAGCGACATTAAGTTGATTTTATTGGTAAACTAAGAAACGACCAACCATGATATCAAGAAAAGGACAAAAGGGTGTTAATGAAGGTGTGGTTGGAAAATACATAAAGAAAGATACTCCTCCAGATTTGCCTAGTAAGTCTCCTAGATCTATGATATTACTGCAATTATTTAACAAGTTATTACGTCACAGCTTCCGTTAAGTAACACGGAATCATGTAAATATTTTTTATGCTATTTACTATCTTTAACTTGATATATGTACACTTATATCTATTTCTCACCAGTTATAAATGTATGGACTACTGGACATAATAAAAGACCTCGAAGCCAACCGTTTGGTACGAATGATCCTGTCTCACAAAGCCATGAAAATAAATTTGGCAAGGCACAAACTATGAGTGGACATGCTGGCAAATATACACCTAGTGAGTCAGTACCAAATTTAGCATACAGGTAAGTTAATATCAAAACATTAATAATAACTGATAGAACTCTACAAAGTTGATACACATTAATTGCACATTATAAACCTTTCGTCATTCACAGAACTTGATCCAATACAAGAGCTTAACTAGCTAGAATCTTCTATAACTTTTCTTTTTTACTTTAGTTCATCCTGTCGTATATAAGTCTACCTGACCATAGTGACCATTATTTATTACGTTTTTGACCTTTGTTACAGGTTTGCCAGTTTATCCACTAGTGACACAGCAAGCACATCAAACAGCTACAATTCTCAATATCTCTTAGATTCTAATGTGGTAATATTTTTTTTTTTTAATATTTTAAAGGTAAATAATCCATGTTACAGTTTGTATTTGTTATGTTGTAGGCTTCTCATACAACTTTGAATGATAGAGATGACTCATACCTGGCACTGAGTAGACAAACAAGCTACAGATACTACAGGCAGCCACAACAAGAAGATCCTATTTATCAGAATCAGCAACAGGTACATATTTTAAAATTTAAGTAATTGTAAAATATAATAATAAAGACTACTATCAATAATTTTTATACAAATTAATATGATAAAAAAAGAGTATTTTTTTTTTCACTTTGTGATATAATTATTTATGATTTGTCAAACTTCAATGAAATTTTTCGAAATAATTTAATTGCCAGGTCCAACAGCAAAAACAACAACAGTATGGATCACGTGAGTCCAGCATGCCAAGGCTATCTTCCAATTTAAGTTTAACACCAAGACTGCATTCTCCATCTCCACATACACTACATCTGCAGAATTATACTGACTGTAAGTTTCTATAATAATATATATGTATATATTCTATTTCTGATTAAAACAAAATTGACCCTATTAATATATTTCTCTTCTATTCTAGCATATGCTTCATCAAGCCAGTCTTCTCCAATTTACTCAAATTGTATGAATACTTCAGTTATGCCATACAACAAGGCTCATGGAAGTAAAATAATTACAAGTTCACAAGGTGTGTTAACAAATTGTAAATTGTTAAAAAAATCCTAATTGTGAGAAATATGAAAATATTTAAAAATTGTAGGATCTGATGAGTGTGAACTTCCTCTTCCTCCTGGATGGTCAGCAGACCGAACTCTCCGTGGTCGCCGCTATTACATGGACCACAACACACAGACAACTCATTGGACTCATCCATTAGAAAGTGTGCCTCAACCATGGCAAAGAGTTTCCACACCTCACCATGGAGTTTATTATTTCAAGTATGTTTTATTTTTATGCTAATTTCCACAATACTATTATGTCTTGTAAGATTCCTTCAGTTAACCTTTTACTATGGCAATAAAATTTATAGTAAATTCCTGTCACTTAATTATTATTTGTTTTATTTACAGTGAAATTACCCATCAAACGACATATGCTCATCCATGTTTAGTTGGTGGCTGTTATTTAGTCAGTCCTTATGTTCCTACTCTTGTGCCGCCATACTTACTTGAAGAAATACCTCACTGGCTTATTGTGTATTCTAAAGGTAAACAATATATATTATGTATTTTTTTTACTAACATTAAGATCGCATTTGTTCCGCCTGTGCTACCACGTGCTGCAATATGGTGCCGCATGCGAACGCGCGCTGTCGCATTCTGCAGACAAAAAAGGCGATCGCACAAAAAGTGAAAGGATGCGTTAACATGCTATCGCACGCTTCTGCGTTCCGGAGTCTCCCTGCCGACCATTGCATTTTGTCCATGATACCGATCGCTTCCAGGATTCCGCTGCGTGCTATCGCATTATGCTTTCTGTCTCGGTCTAGGACATTTGCTAGACCTGCCATTGCAGTTCTAAGCTATAGAAAATGAAAGGGCGACGGAAAAAGGCGACGCCGTACTGCCAGATGAGGTCCAACCCTAATTTATCATACATTTACTACAATAGTTGGTATGCTGTTAACCAAGCTTCAAATAGATAGATAATTCAGAATATATGGTATGGTCTGGATATGGTATGGAATATGGTCGATGTATCTTGGCGAGTCTGAAGTTAGCAGTTTGTCTGCGCAATGGATCTTTTAGGAACAAAATTGTGTACTGCGCAGCTAATCGGCTAACTTCAGACTCGCCAAGATACGTTGGTGGTATTTTATGTATAAGGTATCTTCAGTACTATTTTCTTTTATAATACATAGACATAATAATCACTAATCACTTAATTTTGTTATAGCTGATCAAGAACTAGATCACAAGTTACGCTGGAACATGTTCAGACTCAGTGAGCTGGACTGCTACTCTGATATGTTAACAAGGCTGTACAAGCAAGAATTACAGCTTATTGTTATGAAGTTTGAGCGATACAGGTAATTGTAACATTTATATTTACTCATCCAATGCAATAAAGCAACCACCATAATGTAAGATAAATATGGTACCTATGTAACTATGTAAAAAATCTTAAAATAAATGATCTCATACCCAGTTATTAATATGACACATATTACATATGAATGTGATTGTACGGATAGCATGTTCACTTTGTATCATAAATAGATACCCACTATGGCCATTTAGGACGTGGTGCGGAGCGAGAGGAACTGGGAAACCATGTTCTCTTTCTGTGAAGCAGTTATGTTTTCAAAGAAGGAGGAGCATGTGAGGGAGCTATCCTCCTCCTCACGCCCCAGTCGCCGCAGTAGGCGACACTCCGGGCGATGGAATTGAGAGATGATATCCGGCCACCGAAAGCGCGGGTCTGCGGACGGGGAGTAAGGGTAACTCCTGGCCCGACCAGAACCGAGCGTACAGCGCATAGCATTCCACACGCGCCCTCAAAGACTTAATAGACCACCTCAGACAGGCCCCTATAGGGCTGATGTTTAGCTGGGGTTGCGGGGTAAACACAGGAGAAGACTTGGGGGTCAGTAAGAGTCTGACACTCTGGGTGGTAGAAGTCATTTGATGGTTTGCCTTAAAAACACTATAGCCATTTCACCAATCCTAATGAAATCATTCTCCTATTACAGATCTGCGCTCTTACAAGAAATAGAAAGGCGGCGACATGCTATCACATATCATGGTCACTCAAACTGCTGATGTGTACTGTACGTCGAGTTTACCTACTCTACTGTGATGTTATAAAAACATTATTTTAGGCAAACTTTTATGTATAAGGTTATTTAAGCCAGCAAACAAGGTTTGACAGGTATAGTAAGGTACTAAAAGATGATCAAACCCTTATATTCCAGAGCAAATAATATAAAGAAAATGGTAAAAACCCACTTCAAAGATAAGAGACTATGTCAAAAAAGATTCTGAGTAAATTATTATGTTATTGTACTGTCCAGTGGGTTTCATTCTACAACTATATTTTTTTGGTTATCAAATATTATCTGCATTGGCCTATGTACATACACAATTTTAAATCAGAAGACAAATATATGGCCAGTGTAACCATTAGGCAGATAAATTTCAATACATCAAGAGTATGTAATTTTTAATGAAATAATGCTGGTTTAATAAAATCTTGCCTTGATTTTAGCTTTTAAGACAAGGATAGAAATAATACTACTCATATTATACCTTAATACTTGACCAATAAATATGGAAACTGCTTGAATTCTATCATAAATATTCTGTACCTATATTTTATACACATATTGACTATTCTTACATGTTGTTAAACAACAAGAAGAAACTTTTTTAAATGAAATTATATGTAAATAAGTAATGTCTATTGAAATTGGTGCCTTATTTTAAAAATAAAATATTTAACTATTGGTTTCATTTTTTATTGTTTTTAAATAATAAATACTATGTACCTAAAATTTTTTTATACTAAGGTCATTCTTTCAGGGTTTCTTTATCTTGACTATCAACTTTATCTTTATCCTTAAATACAGCTTCTCCTTCTATAATATCATACTCATCAACTTTCTTAAAACCAGATATCCTGTAGACTTTAGCATTTTTAATTCCTAATGTATTGGCCCATGCCGCTCCTGAAATAAATAAAATATGTAAGTTTTTATGTAGGGGATTACCTTTCGAACTACCAACCAACTACTATGGATAGCTACAAGTCTCCTGTGCTAAATAGGTGTTATAGGCTAAACATCATCCTCTAATCAATAGGAGCCGTGCAACGGTTGAAACCGCGAGGCAGTAGCTTTTCATATTTATAATTGAAATCGCAATGTAATTTGTAGTTTTGTCATTGACAGGAATTTGGGTGCGAGTCCCCAGAGACCGGATTTATAGGGATCTCTGTCTGACACATCTGGGAATCGAAATGATTTTGTGTACTTACCTATCCTGCTTCAGTACAGAATAGTAAAGTTCTGAAACGGTTTTAGATTTTTGATTGACAAATAAAAACTATCTTACCCGGAGGAGTTGAATGTTCCTCGTCAGATTTTATACCATAATAATGAGCCCAATCAGCTTTCCCTTTGTAAACATTGTAAACTACTAATCCAAATGCGTTCCAAGCTATTAAGCCATAAGCTATGCTAAGTCGCCGTTTCCATAGTACCGCTGTTTCTTCTGGTATGGGTTTTGTTCTCTTACGAACAAAACGGTGCCACCACTTGTAAATCATATTTTATTTATGTAACATCACTAGCACATAATAAAATTTGGAGGTTATGATAATCCCAAAACAATAATTATATACTTTTTTAAATTTATTGTTACCATAGGTACAAGTCTTTTCGGAATGACTAATGACTGTGCTAATGACCGTGATCATTTATTTACACATATATACTCTGAGGTTGTATTACTATAAAATAATTTTATACTTATTATACTCCTTGGTAATTTCGATCAAACAGGTATTAGGAAAATAAATAGTATTATAAAATTTTCTTGTTTTGCTGGTGTAAAAATAAATTATCTAATTACATTAACAATTATTGTACCTACTTCTCCCAACTTGGCTGGGGCGACACTCCTTGTCGCCCCAGCCAAGTTGTTTGACGTTGTAAGACTCTTAAATAATGACTTTAACAAACCCCGTTACTTCTCCTGCTCCGGGCGGGAGCCGTGGTAGGTTCTGGTATATTATTGCGTTTGCACTTAAAACCTCGGCTGTACTTAATTAGTAAAATATGTATATGGATGAAGTCAGAGGAAGTGCCTCATGAATGTTAATTAACTCTTTGGTCATGAACCTCAAATAAATTTTATTAGTCCATATTTCATGATATTTTTATTTTTTTCATGACCATCACAACAATAACTAATAAAAGTCGCGGTAGATCGCGGTTCGCGGATTCGCGGTAGTGGAAATATTGTTTTAGAAAAATATAAGGAGATAAGAAATGTAAGGACACAACTTACAATATGGTGATAATTGTTACACGTAATATTAAATATTTATTGATTTAAATTATGTCGAAATTAGTATTTTTACAATAGCAATATTGCGTCATGCATTCGTCGTCGTACATTGCGTAGTGGTACTCTTTGGTACATTGCAGCAGCTGGTCGCGTCACCGCCCGCGCCCGCGCAAACACATGACAATACATAATAATATTATGATAACTTAACACGCACACGAACAATGTTTGACAGACTATAACGCATACCTAATAACGCATCGTGTAAGCATTTTCGTGAGGCTTTAGTGTTGGGTATGGGGTCCTTTAGTATGATCTGTTTTTATAAAGCGTTTGTAAATTCCCTCGGTGAGGGAAGTCCACGACCATTTACAAACGCTTCGATTTCGACCTCTTACCGACTACAACCACCACGGTGTTCCGACTCTGCCTATTGCCGTGATTCGGGTGCCCTAGCGAATTCACCAAACGAGGCCGGTCTCGACCTAAATGCTGTTTGCAGTGGGTAGTTGGGTACCGCCAAGTCCTTAGAGGCGACTTGTGCTTTTCGAGTGGCACTCCTGGAACACTACCCTAACGAGCACGATCATCCGAAGCACGGACGGGTGTAGACACCCGTCCGTGCTTCGGATGATCGACTCTCCTAGTCCGTTGTATTTTCCTCAGGTCCTTTCGCCACTTTGTCGTCAGCTCTTGGCTTATTAAAGACACCTGTCATCACCTGTGTCAACTGAAAACTTAGTACATGCTTAGTACATCATGTTGCCTACCGATCTAAGTCAAATCTCCATAACGGGAATCTCTGACGTTATTATGGCGTGCCGTGTGCTAAGTTGTCAAAATCGCGTCTTCCACTCCGCCAATAAAACCCCACATTCTAACCACCGTGTCTCGATGATTCGAAGTGGATATTGCTCACCCTGGGTATCGAGATCCCCGCGGCGCTTTTATAGTGACGCCATAAGTAGGTACTTCCGAGCCCCAATGTGGCGATCCAGCTAAGAAGCTGGAAGCCTCGAAAAAGACCGTGCTGTGCCCCTGACGATTACAGCGCGCTATGAGGAAATGCACTTAATTTCTAATAAGTACCTACTAAGTTTTCGCAAAATCCCCAATCCAACCTGAGTTACCCAATCATGGTGAGGAGTGAAATACTTAAACCTGCTCTGTTTGACAACCGTCGGCCATTTACCAGCAGTAGGCTTGGGACTTATAGGAAGATAACAAAGTCAAGTACCCAATTGAGATTTTCGACATTAAATTCCTTCGTAGATTCAGCAGATACCCATGACAAATTATCCTAAACTTGGATAAAAAAAAACATAAACAAGGGTAATAGTTAGCACCTATCTCTTTGAAGATCAAGAAGCTTCTTTCTGGAAACTTTATTTTAGAGTAGGCACAATCAAATGAGGACACCAAAGAGTTTAATAGGGGAAATGAAATGTACCTATACATCTATTACACTCCTTGAAAAGAACGCTAGACGCAATGAGGTAACGTGCGTCGTCGCCTGTCGTCGCAAAGACAAGCGTGTAGACATTTTTTATCATTTGATTTTTTTGGCATTTTTATTTATATTTTAATTGGTATAACAATGCTATCAACTCGTGGTATATCTAAAAAGAAAACGATTTATTGCCTGTAAGTGATTCCTTAATATACTCTTCGCAGGATGAAAATTACTTGAGTAGTACTTAATACAAAATCTTCAGTTACCTACATAGGTAGGCAAATGTACCTGCTACAAAAGTATAAGTACCTATATTTACAAAGTTTTGGTTATATCCCCGTATTTGAAAATTGATCTATCATAGTTATCGTGCTATCGTTCGAAAAATTAGTATTTACCGAAGTCTAGATTTCAGTGTATCTATCTAGACATATGTTTGCAAACGAAATAAAGGCACAGGAGGAACTTCAGAATTTTTTAATAAAATACGTACCTAGGTATTCTGAATAAAGGCATCTCCCTTGCTACAGCGCGAGCTTTGTAAATATCAGAAAATTGCATATACTTAATATAATATTTTGATTGTGTACAATAAACCAAGGTCGAAGGTCATCTAGCTGGCAGTGTTCGCGTTTCATGGCGCTATTTAGCTGACGTTATACTGTACAAGGCGGTACCTGGCACCTGTAGTCACTCAACTTACACACTTGAACCACTAAATAGGATGAAATAACATAGGGAGCCATAGGGATCTTTTTTGACATACAACTATTAAATGAGCGAGTTAGTGTTGCTTTGTCCGTCAGCAGAGTAGAATAGTAGAATACATACTTACATCCTCCTTTTCCCTGATTTAAGTGCCTACTAACCTTCTCGTCTGAGGCAAGACATTCTCTGATAAAACATTATCCACTATTAGAACTGCAAACTCTTATCTTGTGTGGCGATACCTGCTTACACTTCTTAAGTATGACCTGTTCTTCCATGAGTTTACTCAAAACTGAAAACTTGATACCTAAATGCAGAGGGTGTTTCAACCCTCAAGGCTTTTATCTCATGCTTATTTTTATCTGATAAGGTGGTCGAATCAAGACTTCCTACTCAATAGGCGTATTGGCACCACTGATCCAATGGAGCAGACAACTAATGTATAGGAATTCATGTCTGTACAACTCCTTATCTATTCACGTTTACCTAACAAACCTTCTCGAAGGTCGTCAGTCCGACACGGCAAAGCTTTGTTTACATCGGTGCCATGCGGGTCACCTCGAGGTTGCTTTGTACAGATATAACAGTTATACAATACTAAAATCATATGGGGAAGTCAGCTAAAAAGTAACATTTTTACACATTTTTTTGTATTACTTAAATTTCCTATTTACGTATTCATTACATGTTCGTTTTCGTTATATAGGGCTAGGTCAGACCGCATCAACGCCCTAAGAAAGCAGTATGACGCATTTCTGGAAGAGGACAAAAAGCGAAAGGAACGAAATGATTTTATTCTTGGGAAGCTTGATAAAATGCGGTATACCACTGCATTGGTACGACACAAGGTAAGTGCTTTGAAAATAATAAAGTAAATCAAATTACAAGCTCAGTGGGTACATCTAGTAGATAGCTCCTTTAGGATAATGAACTACAGTTTAATACGTACAATGAGAATATTTACTAGTAGATTCACGCGGTTCACTAAATAAAACTGGCGAACATACGTAAGTAGGTAGATAGTGAGTTCCATATAAAGCAGCCTACCACCATCTTCCTGTAAAGAATTTTAAATGGTGTCTTCGAAAAAAAAGACCGCTTTTGTGTGTGTCATTCTCCCTATAAGTAGCGTAAGATATTAAAATATTGTACGTTATCTAGGCACACTTATACTTATATTCATGTTCAGGTTTTTATTTATTCCAATCATCATCCGATAAGATATTTAAAATGTCTAGGTTTTATTTATTTTCATTAATAATTCATAATCTCCCATTTTCAGCCCAATATGCTTGAATCTCATGTCTCCACGATGGATCGCATCGGATATCACCCCGAAATCTCTCCGGTTCGAGATCTGCAACCAACATTAAAAAACCCGAACCTAGTGTTTTCTAATATAGCAGTAAGAAGTACCGAAGACGCTTTAATACAAGAAATAAGCAAGAAATACATACTTATTCCGAAGTTGAGAACGACCTATACTAACAATCATAACGCAATACGGAATGAAACAGCTAGCCAAATTCAAAACCCTGAGATATTATCCGAAAGACATAACAAACAGGACAAAGTCCCCATACACGATATAAAACTTAATACTAACGAAAATGTGGACTGGAAGGATAAATATGAAATTTTAAATATTCTTAAAAATGAAGAAAAGGAAAAGCGATCTGGCAATACTTTTACCGATTACAAAGAAGATCCGAAACTTTTCGCACGGGCTGAAAGCTTTTTGGAAAATAGGCAGGTTCCTATAAAATATGACATGGATAGAAATGAAAAAATGAACGTTACAGAAATTCCAGAAAAAGATTTGTCTAACGATAAATCGTATTTTGGAATATCCAACACTAATCAACAAAAGTTAAACGCGTACCAAGAAACCAGTGTAATAGAAAATGTTAAGCTTACAACTCCCGACCAATCAATCGCCATTGATGATAAATTTAAAACTATGTCATTAGATGACGAGCAGCCTGTAGTCAACAACAGTGAAACATCATCTGGTATTACAAATAATTATGAACCACAACCTAATATAAATAATAGTCAATCCTGTGAACCTCCTCAACAAGCAAATAATTTAACTATTAGCCAGAACGATGAACCACATGAAGTGACCAATATAAATATGCTCCAAAGCTATGAGCTACAAGATACCGATAATCTAAATTCAATTCAAAACTATGAACCACAAGACGCGACTGACTTAAGTTTGATTCAAGACCGTGAACCAGAAGATACGGCAAATTTAAGCTTGAGCCAATATGAACCACAACCTGAGTCTAATTTAAATGTAACCCCGGCAATGACTACTAATGATGGAAATCATCTCAATGAGGAAAATGCATACTATCACGAAGAGTACTTCGTTCAAGGAGATTCTAACAATATACAAAACGAAATGCCCGCAGTACAGCATGATCCTTCATATTCGGGAGATATGGTTTACACAAACAGCAATGAAGTCGGTTCGATGCCAATCGATCATAATATAACAGAGAACCTAGAGATAACAAACAATGAAATTACTGATGTTAACTATATTGAACCTAATCTACAACCAGAACCTATCCTTAGACCAACAGAATCTGTCCGTGACGAACCAAATCCCGCCAACGAAGCAGCAGAAACAGAAAACGAACAAACAAATAATTTTGCTGAAATGGCGGAATCAATACAAGAGTTTGATACTGAGCAAAGAGAAATGTTCTATACAGAATCTGCTGAACATAATCCTAGCCAAAAAGGGGAAGAAATGACTGCTTCAGAAATTAATTCTAACGAATATCAACAGAATGAAGAATATAACTATTATGACAACATCCAACCTGAAGCGTATCCCGTTGAACTCCAAGATGAGGAAATGACACAACGATACGATCAGCATTACGAAGAACAATATGCAGGTGTTGAAGAGAGAGTACAGGGTCAGGAATATCAACACTATCAAGCGTCTGAGCTAGTTGAACAAGCAGAACCACAGGCAGAAATAGTGGAATATGACCAGCAATTTGTAAATCAGGGCATTATTGAACAAAATTTGGATGCCGAAGATGGTTACGCACCGCAGCAGAACGACTTTGTAGCACAACCACCCGAAGTAGAACATGTTCAAGTTAATGAATTTCTTAACCAAGAATTCGAGAACTTATCTGAACCTGTACGGACATAAAATCTAATCTCAAATTTTAAGTAGGACCTATTTACTTTACAAGGCCTATATTTCTCTATTTTTCCAAACGTTTAGATTCAAAAGCTTACACAGCATAGTTAATTTATGCTTAGGCGAGCATAGGCACATCATATTGGTAAAAAACCTAATGTGCAGTTAACCATTAAAATAAAACGATTTAAGAACGAGAAACGTCACTGATGTTTTCTTCTATGTGATTGTGGGTATTTAAATTACTCTTTCCCTACTATTTTTTAAGTTACGACTAGATATTAATGCCTTGTGTGTCAGGTATTTGACCGCGTCAAATTAGATATTGTAATTTCCATCTTAGTCTAAATAGATAGGTCTGCTGAGCATACGTTCTTGTCAAAAAGTTAAGGCTTGACGACACTGTGAGGATACTGTGAGCTGTTCAACATTGTGTAAGTTATTTCGTATGCTTGCCGTTTGTAGCATATAAGAAAAATGTTTTTAAGTAAATAGTTATATCGGCTTAATCTGCATGAGAAGTTGCAATGTGGTGGCTGGATACCTATTCTAGATCCCGTGTTAGCTATAGTCTACATTGGAACTAAGTACCTAGGCTTAAAATACGACTACGACAAACCGCCGTACTCAGATTCATCTAATTATTACTTAACCCTGTCCTTTGCAATTTTTTTTTGAACAAATCTAGTTCGGTACGTAGTTAGTTAGGTTCTAAGAAATAGTTTAATCATTGACTATCTCTTATGGTACAAGGAGAAATAATCAGGAGTGGTAGTAGACTAGTTACGGAATAAGTAGGTACCTAATCTTCTTTCTTCGAAGTAGCCATGCTAGCAAAAGAGGCGGCAGAGTGCGTGTGGGAACTGTCCCTTTCACGCCCCAGCCGCCGTAGGCGACACTCCGGGCGTCGGGGATCCAGCAACGATCTCGGACCGTAACTCGCCGCCCGACAGAAGCCGAGCGTACGGTGCGTAGCGGTCGCGCCTCAAAGACCCACCACAGCCGGGGGGTTGCGGGGTAGCGCAATATGGTACCGCGGCTCCAGCTTAAAGCAGGAGAAGGCACGGGACTTAAGTCAGTAAGAGTCTGACACTACCTTTCGCCTCACCCTATTAAAGAGAAGGCATTTGATTTATCCCTCACAAAATAAACTAGGTAACTATGTTGTATGTGTGTTTACAATTAATTGTGTTAATTGTGTATTAATTATAATGTAAAAATATTTTTTTTTTGCTTTTTGCATTATTATATAACTAGGAAATGTAAATTTTATTTCCAGAGTTAGAGCAATGTCTTGCTAATATAATTTTTGATGTACATATTTTACTAAAAGATGTCAAATATTTTCTTATATAATCAGCTGTTATTAAGATCATTCATATCAACTGCCTACTGATAGTGCACCTCCTTTGTTAACTGAATTGGCTTAATAGTCCATGCATTACCAAAGTTATTATCACACCAAAATTAAAAAAAAAATTCAACTCTAGAACTTTGTGTAATTTATTTTTTAAAGTAACTAAACATGATCCTTATGGTATGAACCTCCTATATTGCAGAACTAGTATAATACAAATATTCATCAGATAAATAGTAAAAAAATGCAACAATGCAATTTAAACTAATTTCCATCTACATTTATTTTAATATTATACTCAAGTATTATTGAGGTAGAGGCATTTTCTCGAGTTCTGCTGCTTGTTCAGGAAATAATGCCTCCTTAGGTTTCTTCCAATGGAACTCCTCCCATGGCAGCCTGTCTAGTCCAGTGGCCCAGTGATGAATTCTACATCTTACATTGACTTTTTCTGTATTATTGATCTAAAAATTAAAGAAATTTATGTTTGTAACACCACAGATTTCAACAAATAGATAAACAGCTGAAGTTAAAATAATCAATGTAAAGCTCGCAAATCTGATTCCTTCAGACACATTGAACGGTAGTTACTTTTGGATGAAGGCTAAAGGCAAATTAAATAAGGAGGTCAGGGTAAGTTTGATACCTTATTTAAATGTTAAATATGACCTTAAGTATAAACAGATGAAGAAAACCAACTTACCGTTACAGTAACGAAAAATTCCTTGTCCTGTAAACTTAGGTCGGGTCCCTTGATTTGTGCAGGAGGCATTTCAATGACATCTTCAGGGACCATAAATCCTGCCTTTCTGAAAGAAGTACTGATATGCCATGGCTCCAAAATCCAGGGTTCCATTTTGTTCATTGTAATTTGTAATATTGTGCGTGACAAACAGCCAATAGTCTAAAATTATAATAATTCATTTAAAAAAATGTAGTTTGTAGTTGAAACACCATATTCCAAAGGTAATTTTTCAAAACACTATTAGCAACAGTGCATTTCTGATAACAGCTAGATGTAATGTAGTATGTAAATGTTCGAACAAATAATAAATATTCAAATAGTAAAATTGCCATTTTCATTGGTAACTGCTTACCCTGTGTACATAAGGTGAACTATAATTAATTTCAGAAGAAGACTTTTCTTCACTAGTGTTGTATTTTTCTAGATTCTGTGGGCTGGCATACACAGCCAGTCCGGGCACAAGATACTCATTATAGGCTTGGTGTGGCCGCAGAGTTAGAACTTCACCTTTATTTCCAACACCTAGAAATCAAAATTGGATGACAACAACTTTTGATTTACAACAAATAAGATTGTGGAAGATTGTTGATAAACTTTTTATTTATTGTTTAGTTAATACAGAAAAAATATGACTTATTATAATTATCCTGTAATTTATTAATCTTCAAGTTAAATATTTTTGGGTAACAGGTTTCAACAGAAATTTAGTAAATTAATAACATATTAGACGTACCGTCAATGAACTGGTTAAGAATTACTTTGATATCAGGTTTTCTCTTAACATTTGTATCTTCCACCAAGTCATATACGAAATGCCGTCCTTTCAACTTTATAGGCCTTCCACCCTTCTTATGCAGAGGCACCGCAGTTTTTCTTTTTAGAATAAATGTATTCTGTGGATTGGACAGATTCTCATGCTTGTTATTTTAAGCTCAGAGGATAATAAAATCATTCCAAGTATTCTGCTCATAATAACATTAAATATACAAATGATTACAATTCAAATGGCTTTATTCTTACTTTGAAACCTAAAAAATTAGCTTATTACTTACTGTCATTTATGTGGAACATTTTTTTAAATCATAAGTAGTAAACAAAAAATTGGTTTAAAAATAAATTCATGTCTAGCTTAACTTACTCTTGTTTGTTGATGATTTATATTATTGCACCCTGAAGTGATAGCATTACGAACTAACGAACGTAACCCGAACATAATAATTTAAATATTAAATAGAACTGCAATAGAATATCTTTATTTTAAAAATCAACTTTTGTAGGTTATTTTTCTTTTTTTAATTACAAATGTCAAGTCAAGTATTGGGCTATCTATATTGGGGTACTTGTCTTTTAATTCCACGAAAAATAATTAGAGTGGTAAAAAAAAGTGGACATGCATGACCACGAGTCGACCATTTGTTCTGCGATAGTCATTGATGTTAATTGAATGTAAACGAATGTTACGTTACTTTTTCGAATTTAAACTTGTAATGAAATATCTCAAAAATTATGGTTTATTTTTACGAAATACAATAACGATGCTTTGACCGTCGTATATTGATATGAACATATTGTAACAAAATTCACGATACTAGTAGTATATAATCCCGTGAGTAGACCATTTTTTACAAAAGCAAGGTCTTTTCCCATTGACACAATATTTTCTATCTCAATGTCTTTTCCAAGGTCCGTTGAAAATCAACGAACGACAAATAGAATTCCATAAAATTGTTTATGATGTACCAAAGACAAGACGTTTATTCCGTGAAACAAACTTGGTTCGCTATTGCTTTGCTTTGATTTGTGAATTGTGAATTTGCTTGAAGATTAGAAGTATCGAAGGTGCATTAACATTTTGTTCAAGATTAATATCATAGGTATTTAGTAGACCTTTTTATTAGGATGGATGATGAAACGAGCTCAGATTTGCAGGTAACTATGGTAAAGTTGTGCACCATACCTTGAGGTTATAAAAAATACAATTGATGTTTTCGCTAGTTACGGTTTCAGTAAAAGTGTTTTTATTGTTTCTTTTAGAAGTGTTTATCCGATGGACCGATGGATACGGATGAAGGCCCCCTTATAAACGAAAATTCAAATGGACTTTCACATTTATTGACTGAGGGCGAGTTCAGCAGTGTCGAGGCGGCAGTGGACGAGTCATCAACATCAAACCAAGGTTTCCTCAATGCAGTGGAGCTGTCTGCGGGTAGCGTTGGCGACTACCTGGACAACAACACCGAAGGATTCAACACACATCCTTTCGATGTGGGCGATAACGCGGTCACATTCCCCAGCGACTCGCTCAATAACATGCTCACCGACGGCGACTCACTTCTTAGCGATACAGCGTTTAAGACTCAGTCTGATACTGATGGTGATGTTACAGAAAGTCAGAAGGCGACGGTGGAGTCTGACTTTGAGGTCAGTCAAATATCTGATGCTGGCAATTCTATGCCAGCCGATGACATAACTCAAACAAAAACAGAGGAGACCAGCAACACTAGTTTAGCAGAGGTGAAGCCAGAACCAGAGCCAGAACAAGCTGAGGCTGGCCAAACTGGCAACACTGATGCCACTCCTGCTGTCAAAAGTGAACAACCTGTGGAATCCGATGAGGTATGTTGTTCTATACAATAGTAATTTAATGAATAGTTGTAAAAATAGCAAGATAGTACATGTTTTAAAAAAATGTTGTTTATCTACTGATATGTGTCGCAACAGGACAATGTTGCTCAGCCTATTATGAAAAAATAATTTGAACCGAGCTGAATATTACAAAAGGAAATATTTTCCAACATTTTCTCTTCTTCTACCTAAACATCCTAAGTTATCTGGCATAAGTACCACAATAATGTACTTATTTTTTTAATATTATAAGACTGTAATAATGACTTCTATAAGACTCAAAGCTAGCAAATTGGTCACTAACATTTTCTGGGTTGTGGAATCCAGTCCCTTCCATACATCATTTGATTATAATTATCATTACATGTTTCTGTCCACTGCTGGTCATTTGCCTCTCATACCAACATCTGACAGCCTCTTTACGGACACTGTTGGTGCCTAGATGGAGGGAGCCCTACACTATATTTGTTTGTCATCAGTTCTTTGTAGAATGTGATTGGCCAATTTATTTTGCCTTCATCCCGCCATCCTTTACAATATCTCTATATTTAGTTCTCTGTCCGATCTCCTCATTTCAATATTAATGATATTGACATATAATTATGGAGAGGTATATAATAAATGCTGTCTCATAGTTCCTACTTACAATATTGTGATTTGTTTTTTTGCTGTAGCAGTAATCCTTGAATCAAATATGCTCTCTATCTTGGAAACATAATAAATACACTGCTCATTAGTAAAAACTCAATATGCAACAAAATCAATAGTGTCAACAAAATGATGTATGTTTATTGTTATATGCATGCCCACTTACACTAGCATAATTTTCTTGATGAAGTCAATTTCAAATAAGTACTAATTTGGTACTTTGTCACTTAATATTACTGTTTATCATTTATCAATATGAAGATTGTGATCTAAATTTATGTTTTATCTTCATATAAAGATTGAAGATTATATTATTTTTATTTATTTTTTCTTTTTTAGCAAACTTGTGTTAAAGATGAACCAGAGTCTCCTGTAAAAACTGAAGATGTAGACACTAAGGTATGCTCGAATCTTTAGTTCTTACCATAAAATAATATCCATGGGATATACTCTTATCTAATCAATGTTTTTTATGATTTCAGGTTGTAAAGACTGAATCAGTTGTAAAGTCAGAAAGTGCTACACCTACAAAAAAATCCAGCAAGGTAAATTATTTAGTAACACTATGTTGTTATATTTTAGGTTCTGCTTTAGATTAGTATAAATGCCTGAACATAGTAATTCATCTTTTAAACTTATTCATAATTATTACTATACTTACAGTGAAATATGAATACAGATTGTTCATTCTTTGTATCACTTTGTTATGTAAATTCCAAGGCTTATCAGCAACTTGAAGTTCAATATTGTTCTTGACTGAAACTATACAAACAAATGCACTTATACTTTTAAGCCCAAATTCACAATATTCAAGTTTTCTTTCTAAATAATCCTTATGATGGGAAACAAGAAAGATAATCAAATATCACCAGTTCATTAGCAGATTGAAATTAGAAATCACTAGCTAAAAAGTTGTGAATTATTTAGATATCAGCTTACAGATAGAGGTAGCCATCTTGTTATTTATAGAATAGATTGCATTTTACTGATTTACTAATCATTTATGTGACATGCTACTGCTTTTAATGGTAAGACTTCCAGGCGTACGCACCCTTATTGTACTACATACATTGCCAGGTATGGACAAGGGCACATGTAACCGACGCGTCATATATTACCATAGTATTAATACAATATTTATTGACATTATTACTTTAAACATAATTAATATTACACTCAAAACATCACTGTCAGTTATTAACACATAAAACATTTGATAAAAGGTGGGTGGTGCTGAAGAAACAGAAGTTGTATCGGAAGATGAATTACCAGAAGTACAAAAGCCAAGTATAAAAGATGCAGAGAATGTGTCCGATGATGAACTGCCTGGACCTAAACCAGCTGAACTCCCAGCAGATACTGAGGTATATTTGTAAAAATACAATCAAAATATAATAGATTAGCTACAAACAGGAAGCTCTCTAAGGCTTTGCTAAAATAATTAGTAAACACACTGCATAGGTGTCTATGGATTTTTTTTATAATTGAGGGGTTGATGTTTCTTAAAAACATTCAGGTCACATTTTTTATATAATAGTTTTTATTTCTGCATATTTTCTGTGGTATGTTGTTAAAAAGTAGCCTATGTCCTATTCCGGAGTGTATCCTATGCCTGTGCCAAATCATCCAGATCCGTTCAGCCGTTTTGACGTGATTGAGTAACCAACATCCAAACAATGTAATTTTGCATTTATAATATAAGTAAGATAGTTTTTTTAAAACAGTACATTAATGTTAGGTGGTGTCGGAAGATGAGCTCCCATCTTCAAAGAAAGAGTCGCGTAAACGTAAAACTGAAGATGAGCGCGATGGCTACGATCCTGGCTCGCCGACATCTGAAAATGAGTCCTCCTCCAAAAAACAAGCTGTAGCCAAGGTAAATTAGTTGTAAATTAAATATTTAAAGAAAGATTTTTTACCTAATACATAATATGTACTTTAAAAATAAGATAAGTCTTACCAAACTTATAAGTACCTTATAACATTGCCTTGATTTTTATTCCTTTATTTCCTAGAATGGAGAAAGCAAACCGATTCCATCTGAGAAACGCACATCAACTGATGAAAAACCCAAGAAGAAACTACCTGAGCTTGACAAATACTGGAAAGTCGTCAATGATGATCCTACCGATTTCACTGGCTGGACTTATTTACTACAATATGTTGACCAAGAGGTGAGATTTATTGCATTCAATAAACATGAAATTGTAAGGTAATTTATACAATTGTTAAATGATGAAAACTATCGCTAATTTCACTTGCTTTATGAAGCAGTGGGAACTGAACTTTGTTGACGAGTGGCAAGGGCCAACTGATTTGCAAATCCTTTACCTATGAGGAGATAGATGAATTTTGGAAGAAAATTTACTGATTTTTGTAAATTGTTTGGCACAGAGCGACGTGGAGGCAGCTCGTGAAGCATACGACGCGTTTCTGTCGCACTACCCGTATTGTTACGGGTACTGGCGGAAATATGCTGACTACGAAAAACGTAAAGGAAGTAAAAAGAAGTGCCTCGAAGTGAGTACCAACACTTTACAGCTGATGCATTGTTTATAATCTATTTTCAAATCACTTGGTGACTGGTTAGGCAGTTACACCTGATGACCAGTTGTTTATTATGATGTGCGTTAACACTTGGATTTTGAATTGTTTTAGTCATAACTGGTATTTTGCAATTATTTTTTTTCCCAACAGTGCAACGAGGTCTTCGATGTTCGTAAGGCAAAGTCGTCCGTTCACACCGGAGAATTCTATTACCATCACATAGATTTCGTTCTAGTGATTCATTTTTTGTGGTGTATATTTTATATTTTAGTGCATATATTTATTATAATTTGTACACGCATGATGTATTGTAATACTTTTTCATGTATTTATTATTTAAGTAAGTACTAAATGAATGGTGGATATAATAATTAAGATTAAGTTAACATGCCATGGTATCATGGAATCGCAGCTGATCTTCATATTTAGCCATTGAATGGCGTTAGGAACGGAAGAGCGCAGCGAGGTCGTCGTCAGCTGCGTCAGCGCGCCGAATGCGAACAGGTGTAATATGCCCAGACAAACATTTTATATACTATAGATAGACACAAGCGAGACGTGGCGTCCTTACCGCGCTCGTACCGCACTCGTACCGCACTCGTACCGCACCCGTACCGCACCGTACTACCACATATTGCGCTCCGACACGCCACGTCTCGCTTCCTCTATTCTGAATAATGATATGACAAATAATATGCTATTCAATATTCCCTTGCTTCATAGTGTCGCCGTGAGCGGCGGCGCTTGCAGACACGTGGAACTTGTTTGATACATGTTCTTGTGTTGCAGGTTTTGGAAAGAGGCCTCAAAGCCATCCCATTGTCCGTGGATCTGTGGATACATTTCCTAAACCACATAAAGACAACACGAAATGAAGATCATGCCTACATCAGGTCGCAGTATGAGAGAGCTATAGGTGAGACATGCTACACAGTCAATGATTTAATTTTTTGTGTCTACTCAAGTTACAAAATGTGGTTATGTTTCCAAAGTAATGGATTGCGATAACGTATGTTAACATATAATTATGTTGTTACTATTTTGATACATTCAGATTGATAAATCGATGGATCACTTACAACAGAGTTATAATGTATTTTAATTTACAGAGGCATGTGGTCTAGAATTCCGGTCGGATCGTCTATGGGAGTCTTACATCAAATGGGAGGCTGAGAATGGATCGGCTCTCAATGTTACCAATATATATGATCGACTGTTGGCTACTCCCACACTCGGATATACTTCACATTTTGACAAGTTTGTACAATGACCATTTCTTATGCTTCATTCGTCTGGTAAAAGTGGACTTTTAAAGTATTGGTATAATTTCATATTTATTTCATTATTTAATGAGTATGCCATGAATGCCTTATTATTGTATAATGTAACAAATAACAGATACGAGATGTGCGCAATGTTTATTGTTTTCTTTTCAGTCCCAACTTTTCAATTTCAGAACGAAAGACTTTGTTAAAGTCTTACTTGCTTATTGATCAACAAGTCACTCTGTGACTGGTGTAATTCCGTTTGACAACGAAGCTTTTATGGGAATATGAGATCGTAACAAAAAGGTTCCTTTCAGTTTTGGTTATACTTGAAATATATTGAGTGCTATGGAATATTTTACGGCTGTGGAGAGGAGTGTAGCGATGGTCGGTGGGTGCTAAGGGTGGCGCGTGGTTAGCTTCCAGGAGCACGTGATGTCGGAGCCGGTGGCGGGCGTGGTCTCCCGCGCCGAGCTCGTGCGTCTGCGCGCCGACGTCCGCGCCACGGCCGGGGCCGCGCCCCAGTTGGATCTGCCGCCCGGAGAGGATGAGCCGGTCGACCATGTCGTGAGTACTCTAATCATTATTACATTCAATTTAAACTTTCATTGTACAAATGCCGATTGTACCCTGACAAAAACTATCACGATTGGTGTGGTTGTTCGAATTTGGTAGTGGTTTGTTCAATCCTTTCACGGGATCGCAGGATCCCGGACCTTTGGAAGGGGCCATACGAGGGGCCGAAGCCAACAAAAAAATTTTTTTTTTTTTACCATTCTCCCCCTCATTCCAAATCCCCAATCTCCAAAAGTCCAGTAACGCACATGTATTCCTTTACACCACGGGTTGGATCGATGGCTTAGCATTAGTGACCCGTCTACTACTTTGCCATTGTACGCAATAAAAAAAAATAGAATTTTCAACAATAAATTAAAGTTAAACGAAGTATATAGGAGTATACAAATTTAGAATGCAGTTATAGTGAAGAAATCTCTTATCACTTTATAGGCATCTGAAGAAGAAGCTCAGGCGATCAAGGAACGTATCATTGCCGCACGACGTAAGGTTCACAAGACCACTGGAGAACAAGTCGCGGCTAGATGGACCTTCGAAGAAGGCGTAAGTTGATAAAATATGTTATCTACGTTAAAACATCTTGCACAGGTATTTTTGTTCAACTATTGTATTGTAAATTTATGTACAATTGTTTGGTTATAGATAAAACGGCCATACTTCCACGTAAAGCCTTTAGAACGGTGTCAGCTAAAGAACTGGAAGTCCTACTTAGAATGGGAGAAGCAGCACGGCTCACTGAAGCGGGCACTGGTTCTACATGAGCGGTGTCTCATTGCATGTGCGCTGTATGAAGAGTTCTGGATGCGGGTAAGTTATTGTAACTAATATCACACGCTGAATAGGAAAATAAAAAAGGCAAAATGCTAACCATATCCACAAGTAAATAAACTACTTGATAAATCTCGTCCAAGCCAATTTTCGATTTCAGTTAAGTGTACATAATATATTTTTCAGTTTTTATACACTATTTCATGTCTCTAATGCAAACTATTCAGTTCAGAAAAATTTTATTGTCTAACAAGTCACTCTCACAAGTACTATAATAAATATTTGAAACAAATAGTGCCTATAGGGACTGCAATCATGTGCCATCAGACATACATTGTTGCACCCTTTGAGACACTTTGGTTCATTGAAATACAAATGATTTGTGTTTGTCATTAAATTACTTGCCTACTTTCACCAAAACAAGAAGTTTTGTTTTAATAACAATAATTGTGTACAGTTAATAAAGTTCCTGGAGGAGCGAGTGGAGACTAATCCAGAGCTAGTGAGCGTGGAGCGGGAAGTGTTGGAGCGAGCGTGCACCGTCCACCACCTGGACAAGCCGGACCTGCATCTACACTGGGCACACTTCGAGGAGGTGCACGGGAACGCCGCCAAGGCAGCTGAAATACTCGACCGCATCGAGAAGACCTGCCCCAACCTCGTACAAATACAGTACCGGTATGTAGTGCGACATTGTGTTTCTTATTTCTCTGCGATATTTGCAAGTAATTAAAATATCGCAAATATCGCTTTTATTACGAAAAATTTGCAATTATTTGAAAAAAGAAGCGATAGACATAATTTTAATACAAGAGGCAAAGATAGGCTGGCTGTGCCACGATTCCGTCTGGCCAAAGTACAGAAATCCTTTATGGGGTTCTGTGTAAATTGTTACAATAAAATTCCAAGAAGTGTATTAAATCTTAATGAACGAAAATTTAAAACTTATATTAAACGCGAATTATGTAGACAGGCATACTACAAACTTTCAGATTATATTGAGGACAAGAATGCCTGGCAGCATGTTGGTTCGGCTCCACTGGACAATACTCAAATATGTAGTCAGTAGTTATTGAAATTCTCAAAATTAATGAACCCTTGAATGAGTTTTTAAAGAAGCATTCTTTTGGATTGTGAGTACGCATATGTGAGCGCCATGTTCAAGACAACAAAGGATTAAAATTTTAATGATAGATTAGATAGACCATCATTTGTTCCTTTTTATTAATAACTTGTCTCTGCATTGTTCTCACATAGGCGTACAGTAATGTATAAAATGTATTATTGGTGAATTGTAAAACAAATATTTTTTTTAAAAGAGTAACGATTGAGTTTCTTGCTCGTTCTTCTCCATTCGAAACTACAATTTGGAACGAGCACCTAGCTTCACTGACGAACAGACTGACAGACTACTATTCTATTTATGGTTTAGTTGGAATAAATGATTTTGATTTGATTTGATTTGATATTTGAATTTGAATTAGTTATTATAGATTATACCGTTAGGATTTTTTCAATTTTATTGTACATTTATTGCATTTAGAGTGGCAGTTTTATGCTTATGCAAGATATTAATATTGTCATTTCTGATCACGATATTCAGACGAGTGAACTTAGAACGACGGCGCGGCGACTACGAGAAGTGTGCGCAGCTGTACGAGGGTTATATCGCGGCGGCCAAGAACAAGGCGGTGTCGTCGGCGCTGGCCATCAAGTACGCGCGCTTCCTGTTCCACGTGCGCGCCCAGCCCGTCGAGGCGCGCGCCGCGCTGGACGCCGCCATACTGCGCGACCCACTCAACGCCAGGCTCCATGCGCAGAGACTCGACCTCGCCCTGCATTGCCCCAACACACCCTACCAAGAGCTAGACGGTACGATGTTTTAACTATACATTCGTTACTCTGGCCTCTGGCCCCTTTTTAAGGTATCCTTTATAAGTAAAGTTTAAGAAGTAAAAATAACTTCCCATTTACAGAGCTCGTGTCCTCATACGAGAAGCAAGAAGGTGCGGAGCCGGAAGTGTGCGCCATGTTGGCGTGGAAGCGACGCGAGTTGGCTGAGGAGCTCGGGGACGCGCAGGCCGCGCGCGACGCCACCGCGCATGCGCGCGCACTCGCCAAACACTTGCGCAAGCGCGCGCGGAAAGATAAACATGACCCACCACCACCTCCTAAGTACGTCATTCATATTTTACATCAATATAAAAATTTGACGTTAATTGTGCCATTCTAATATTAACATTTAATTGGGAAGCTAACTTATTTTTTCAATATAAGGCCAATTAAATAATTTGCCTAAAGCTATTACTACCGACACGCCACATACAAAACCTCTTTATTATTGTTTTATGTGTAGCGCATGTGTGGAGCCCACCAAGAAGAAAGAGAATACAGCAGCTACTCCGAACAACGCAGCGTCACCTAGCGGCGGGGGCTCGTACTACCAGGCGCCGACGGCAGCGGCGTCGTACGAGCAGCCTTACGCGCAGCCCTACCAGCCCGCCTGGGGCTACCAGCAGCCCCCCGGCCCCTACCAGCACCACCCGCACCCCTGGCCGCAGTACCCGAACTACTATTAGATATAACTTACCTTTTACAACACTAATTGTTATTTTTTATGACAAGTTTACTAGTTCACTTAAATAGTTACATTACGGTATGATTCATATCGTACGATAGGCTACAAAATTACTTGGTCTTATAAATAGTAATAAATGTAAAATTGAGATTTACAGCTATTGTTTATGAATTTAATAAAACATTAAACAATGTTACATGATTTTTTGAAGAAATAAATCTATCTTCACATTCCAACCGGGTATTATTTATGTTGTTTCTTCCCCGTCTGTTTTGACAGTTTTTTGTTTTTTCTATGCTGCAATGTACTTTAACAGAAACATCTTATTTGATGTCAGATTTACATCATTTCACCATTGTCATCTCTTGTCGGCAAATCCTGTTGCTATGGTCTAGTATATTGTTTCTCTTTAGGCGAGCAGCAGCAGCAGCTGCAGTTCTGTGCCACGCTGATTAATATGTCCTAACTGTTACTTGTGTTCAATGTGCCAATACATGCCTCTGAGTTTGCTATCTATATAGTCGTTTCTTTTTTGTCTGCATAAGTTTGCGCATCGTAAGCGTCGGTTGAGGTGCATACCTATTTATTTTGCATCATCTGCTTGGAGATTTCTGTTACAAAGTTTTAGGGCATGTTTTCCTTCTGAGAGTGAAGGTTTCTTAAACTGAATAATCAGTATTTCCCTGAAATTGCAAATATCTAAGCAGTCTAAGCTATATTTCAATAAGGTTCAGGTATCTATAGCCTATCGGATATTGGGTCTTGATTTTCATATGTTGAAAGGTCCGCGGTGACATCTACATTATGTAGCTGTGGTGCTAGCGGCGAGAACAGGTTAATTCATGTGTATATCAAATAAAGAGCCGATCCCAATGTGCTACCTTGGGGTACTCCAGACCTAATTACACTATAAAAGAAGAAGACTGTCAAAAGCAAGAAATGTCTAAGAAGACAGCACAACTGTGTGTTTGTTTTCTAGCGCTGTACCGATTTTGTTGACGGTGCACTTGCTCGACAAAACATAGAACCGTTTCCCTCTCTATTACTCCACTTACATAATCCCACAAGTAAAAGGGATGTTTGCGCCATTCATATAGTCTAGGGTCTTGAAGACAAACTGGTGAGTTGGTAGTTCCTGTTAGATGTTCTCCCTGTCTTGTTTACCTAGACGTGGTCTCCACTCTTGATCACGTCTACTCCAACGGTCATCGGTTCTTCAACAGATGTTACCTGCCCACTGCCGCTTCAATTTGCTAATCCTTAGGGCTATGTCGATAACTTTGCTTCTCTGCCGGATCATCTTGTTCCGAATACGATCCTTCAGAGAGACTCCAAGCATAGCCCTTTCCATAGCTCGCTGTGCGACTTTAAATTGGTGCATCAGTCTTACTGTAAGTGTCTACGTTTGGGCTCCGTATGTCGCATGAGTCAGTCAGAGTCAGTTGGTGTAGTCGGCCTTTCATAGCCCAGATCGAGATTCTTAAGCACACCCTATCCCGCCGTTACCATAACCGGCGACTTGGCCGTTTTTTTGTTTGGCGTGCCATTTAGGGGAATGCCCCTAATCATCATGCTGGGCAGGCGGGTTGATGATTGCAGGGCGTAGCTCCTAGCACTAGGGCCGCTGCTGCCCGACACTAGTCTGCTGAATTTGTCTACGCCTACATTGTATGGTCAGAACCTCGTTCGCTAATCGGCAGGATAGTTGACTAGTACTTAGATGGTAATGTGCCCCTTGCATCCCTATAGTGCGTAGCTAGCTTGTATAGATTATATGTTTTTTCCCTTTTTTATTTTGTTTTGACCTGTATTGTCTTCTGTTGCGCCAAATACACGCTTTATCTATCTACTAGCTTCTGCCCGCGTGATATGTTGATAAAAAACCTATGTCCTATTCCGGAGTGTATCCTATGCCTGTGCCAAATTTCATCCCGATCCGTCCAGCTGTTTTTGATTTAGCAACAAACATCCAAACATCTTAACTTTCGCATTTAGTATATTAGTAAGAGTAAGGTCTAACAGTGTTCAATATTTGTATCGATGCGAACTGTATATACGTCTTACAGAGACTTGGATAGTGGAATAAAGGGACGAAAAATGGAATAAAAAAAAACATGTAATTTTCCAATCACATTATTTTAATGACTTCATTGGCAACACATTCAATTTTGTTTATACCTGCACAGTAACAACATATGAAATACTGTGTTTAATAACATTTTGTGATACAAGGTACTACCTTATTTGGATACTAAGTATCTTTCAGAAAAGTTAAAAATTGTATTCCCACATAAGCTAATATTCCGATTATTATAGGTCATAACAAATACAAATCAGTCGCTTTTCAAACAATCAACCATTTTATCATCTTAGTGCGAATACTTTTTTAAATTAACCAAAATACGGTATAAATGTATCCCCTGAAACCAGTCCGTCGACGTGAATTTGTCAAAAAATCGGTCGCTAAACAAGAGTTATACAATAAAGTTGAATGAAACATAGAAAAATAGATATTTGAAAACGAGACGTTTTAGCGGCTGATTTTTTTGAATGGACCATTCGAGCGAGACTGCAGGCTCAGGGTGAAAAAAAACAATAAAAGCATCTTATAAATTCTGAATTAAATTGTTTATACTCTTATTTACAGACATCTCAGTTGATGTTTGGTACTTATGGTTTTTAAAAGTCATTTAAAACTTAAATTATTCGATTTATAAACATTCTAAATAAAATAAATCACTATTAATACAAGTAGTAACTACATCTAAGCAGAACGTTTGTTTATTCTAAAACGAACAAACTCCGGTCCTCGAGTCTCCCTGTCTTGTTGACAGCCACTGGAGAATTATCAGGAGCAAGCAGCTTTTGCAGCCTTTACAGCTGTAAAACAAAAATATTATTCATTAATTTAATTGTTTCAAGACGTAGCGAACGTCATGTCGCAGATATGTTAAATGTATCAAGTACGTCGATGTCATTTGGGTATTTTAACTTTTTGTCAAACATATTTTAAAACGTGCGAAAGTCTTGGCATTCATATATTTTCCTAGCCGCCGTTCGTACGATTATTTCATAAGGTCATCACATTGGAGATCAATAGATACTTGTGTATATTAGGGGTGAATTTTTTGATGTGCTTATTTAGAAGAGATCAAGAAACAAATTTTAGTTTTTTCTTTTTTTTACAAAATTTAGGCAGGGAAATAAGAGCAAGTAATAGGAGCTAATTCTTTTTTTAGGTTGGAAGACAATACAGAGGGAAGCTTATAAGCTTTTTTATCTACTTTTCCTACTTTTTAATTTTATTTTATAGTTATGTAGCATAATTTCTGAATGATTATAATTATAAAGCCAGTGGCGTAGTGTATAGGTCTGGTCTATATCCAGTAGTTGGCGGAGGGATATTGGTGATACTGCTGCACTCTTTTTATGAATGAACTAACCTTCTCTCTCCTTCCGACGTAGCTTCTTGCGTCGTCTGTCGATAGCGGCAAGCTCCGCCTTCACTGAGTGGTACGCTTTGCGGAGATCCGCTAGTCTTGTTGTCAACACGTTTATTCGTGTTGAGCAGTCCCAGGTAGGATCTATTCAAGGGAAAAAGAATATCGTATATGTTTTTATGGTCCAAGATACTGTGTAAAAGTAATGGATTGCGATTCAATGATATGTGAAATGACTTGAAGCTGATCAGTTGTATACTATGTGGTTCGGATTTTTTATATGGAATTGGCTATTTGTCATTTAATTTATTTTATTTTATTTTTATAATACATGCAGTTACAGTGTTATTATATTTTGCAATTGTAAGCACGTCTTGTTTATTCATTGAATGATTTTGACTACTATTACTACTATTTGACTACTATATTATTACTATTATTTGACTACTATATTTTTGATTTGATTTTAACTACGAAACATTTTGACAACAAAAGTTAATAGTTTTGTTGTTGACGCGGTGACTGGACAACCGGTTACCGTGCAACGTGTCGCGGGTTTGATTCCCACACGGAAGAACTCTTTGTGCGAGTTAGAATCTGGGAGAGTATATAATTACCTAGTTCGACGTAGAAATTGTATTTCATGGGCGTGTGGTGTGTATGCGGTGCGTGGTGCGCGTGCGCATGGTGCGTGGCGTCGTCCGTGTCGCGCCGCGCGCGCCGCGACCGCCGCGTGCCCGCGCACGAACTCTCCGACGCCTTGCGCGACCGCGCACCTACTCACAAACAGTACAAACATATTATACAAGCTTAGGACAAGCGATCAGCGAGTTCGACCCAATTGCCAGGGTGAAAAGTAGCCAACGTCCACACTATTCTCTTAGAGGAGATCAAAGGTTACAAAAGAGGCCAAATTCATTGAAATCCATTTTGCAGTTATAACGTTAAAGATATATCCATCCATTACATTTCACATTTACAAACATTTGTGTATGTAATATTAGTAGGCACAATCCCTTTTAATTCATAAAATATACATATATTGGTTTGATATTTCGAGAAAATATAGGATTTGACTATAATAAATAAAATTGGAAACAACTCTAATAAAAAATATGCGCACTCAAAGAAAAAAAAAAAGATCTTAAAAGAATCAACTGGCTATTAAAGTTTTTATAAATATAATAAAAATAAAATATTATATTATTTGGCTCACCGTGCGGCTTTTCTACGTCGAGTCCTGAAACGTCATTCATCCTGCTATCTTCCTCGTCCTCCTTGCGTTCTGAAGGACTATCTCGTTCTGATATACGACGCTCCCTGTACACAAAAACACACAAATAACTTATTTAACCAGATACAATAATACCACATGTTATTTATCTACTATTCTTATAAGAAAGCAGATAATTACAAAACCTACTTTAATGTTTATGTATGGATTACCCATTGGGTTAAAATGTGTTCTCCAATTTCGTAGGTATTATAACACAGAAAATTTGCCATGACATTTAGAGGTCCATTGTCCATACAAAGAATAATTCACAAAATATTAAATTTAACTTGAACTATCGTAGTAATTATATCGTCACTGTACAAAACCTTCGCGTATAGAATTTACATATAAGTGATGGCATAAGTGAGCGGTTTTCAACATGGTCGGCAACGCGTTACTGTTTTTTTTCAAATGAGCAGATGTTTTACCTTTGGCAACAACGAAGGAGTTACGAGTGCGGTACCGACCTTTTGGGGATTAGGGATATGGAGATTTTGGGAATGGGGAGCCGATTTCTTAAATTTTATGTCTATTCATTAATATCTATTTGGGCTGATTTTTTAATAGTTAAATAAAAGTTATCTGGGGAATAATTATGATGTGGTCAGAATGTAATAATTTTATTTTTGATAAATCAGCCCTGAATGTTAAAAATAGCAAGAGCAACGTGTAATGTATAGAGTGTACCTGTGTGGCGGCGAGGCGTCGAGACTGCTGTCGGGCGTGGTGGGCGGCGTGTTGTCGACGAGGGCGCGGCCCCGCGGCCACGCGTCGCGCGCTTCCCCGCCCGCGCCCCCGCCTCCGCCCGCGCCCGCGCCCCCTCCCGCAGCCCCGCCCCGTCGCTCTTCTGTAACATTAAGATAATAACACGTGCGAATTAGAAACAGGGTAGTTGGGTAGTTTCCTAGGTCAAAAATAAATAATGTTGACTTTTGTAATACAATCAATTATTGAAATAATTAAAATCATACTTTCTTTCATTGATTTGACGGTATACTTAATTTTACATTTTTGCAAGCTTTCAACTTTTTCAAAATAAGTATGCTCTCTGACGTAGAAGTACGTAAAAGAGTATGACGGAAGCTATATTTTAGGATCTCATACAAAAGTATCATTTTTGACATTTCAATAAAAAAGTATTTACTTTCACTAGTTGGAAACTACCAAATTCAACCATTTATTTCTGTTAGAAAAACATAAACTTTTGAACGCGAAAACAATTATACAACGGTTTTAAAAGTTAGAATTATAGTGTAATTCTTAAAGTATTACTATACAAAGTTTATACCATAGACCACACTATATTCATGTTATTGAATTAGGATGGTACTGTATACAAGTACCAGTTTTGGTAACTTAAAGAAGTTTTAACGTTTTTATAATGAACTATTTTCTACAATCAGTTTGGTTATTCGGATTTTGTTTCTAAGATTTATATTTAAAAAATATTACAATATTATTTTTAATGTTCTTAGTGTTTTCGACCGCATTACTGGTATAAAATATTTGTTACTCTAGAAAACACACCACGTGAAAGAGTAACAAACATACATACAATAGACAATATTAATACCGTACTAGTCTTTATTGGCACATTCAGCACTAAGCCAGGTGACTCATTGTCAGAATGCCATAAAAAATCACATGCGGGTGTATTTAAGTTTGAATAGGAACCTTTTTGAACTATTAACATTGTTTTTATCTAATGGTACTTAAATAATAAACTATTCAAGAACCTTTACACGTGAGTCTTTTACTCAATTAGAACGGCACTAAACTTTTAATAATCGGCTTCATAAAAAAAGGCAGGTCTCATTTTTGTCATTTGTGTTAGCTCGTTTTGACTAAATAAATATGCTAACTATAATATTGCACGTAGGTTAGTTATTGCCATTATGCTAAGTAATGGTATGGTTTGAGTAGTGGATGAATGTGTGTGTGTGGTGAGGTTTACCTTTAGCGTGATGATGAGGCGGTGCTGAAGCGAAGGGCATGTGTAGGCGCTGCCTGGGGGGCGCAGGTTCGGCGTCGGGCGCGGGCGAGCCCGGGATAGTCTCCGAGCACAGCAACAGCGAGATACTGCCGTCGTCCTCGCGCGCCTCGCGGGCCTCGCGGGACTCGCGCACCTCGCGGACCTCGCGCGGCCCACCCGCCACTACTACACTCGCGCCTGTACCATTCAAACGGTAATGTTAGTTCCATTTTTCGTGGGCAATGTGTGTTTTAACCCGCGGATCAGAGGAAGGAGGTATGTTCCAATGGGGCTGATATTTATGACACTTTTCAGCATCCATGTGTTATGTAATAAACAACTTTAGAATGCTACTATTGAGAATATTCTTCACATAACCTTTGATTCCAACGACAAATTCCTTTCTAGAAATTCGTGTGATCGATCCATAGACTAACTAGGCTATCAAAGTTGAACTCATTATTCATAGCAATATATCCAAAAGACAGCTAATATGAAAATACTCACTATGTTTTCGCTCGTTCTTGCAAGCATCTTCAAGCATAAGTAAGGACTCGCCGGCGCTCCACTCGCCGGGAGACTTGCCAGCGTGCAGCGCGCGCGCCCCCAGCGTCATCGACGTGCTGGGGGCCACCGGGGCCAGCGACCCCAGCGGGGCCAGCGACGGGTGGGACCCCATGGGGGGCAGGCTGTGCGAGTGGCTGGCCTGCGCTGGGGACGAGCGCTCGCTACTACCCCACTCATCCACTACTAGCTTGTCGATTATTAATCTATAAAAAAATTTGAACTAGCTGTTACTACGAGTAGGTATAGTTTTAAATTAATTATGGTAACATCAAAGAATCATCATTAAAAACGGGTCATAAGTTTATTTTTCGACCAAGAATGAATGCTGTAGATTTATTTAGGGTGTATTTGAATAAAGTGAGAGTAAATACAAAGCAATATATTACCTCCTGTCGGAGTCGTCCGAGTCGCTGGAGTCGGTGCGCTCGTCGCTGGGGAAGGGCAGGGGCACGGTGGCAGCCACGGCGGCTGCGGACTGGTTGATCTGGCTCGACAACTTCTGGATGGTGTCGCTGAGCACCTTGTTGTTCTTGCCAGGCACGCCCGGCACCACGGGCACGCTGGGCACGCTGGGCACGCCGGGCAGGCCACAGACGGCCGGCGGCCCGGGCGCGCCGGGCCCGCCGGACCCGGCCAGCTCCGCCGCGCTGCTGCGCCGCTCGAGGCAGCTCAGCGGGCTGTGCAGCCGCGGCGCCACCGCTTCCTCCACTTTCTTCCGCCCCTCCAGCGCGTCACGCTTCACCTCCACTATACTGAAAGACTCGCCGTATATCTCGGCAGGTTCAGCTGGCGTCACCTTCTTTATTGTTTCAGGCTTTAGTATTGGTTTTATAGTTTCTGCTTTCAACGACTTTGTCTCGCACATCACGGGCGAGAGCTTGTGCTCCGGTTTGATCGGCTTGATCGCGTCTATCTTGGGAGTGACTGGTCGATCTTCCATAGGTGGAGGAGACATAGAGAGTCGCTTAGCGCTGCTGATAGCTTTCAGCAGTTTCTCGGCAATCTTTGGTCCCTCAGATTGGAGCAAGAATCCTGGTGGTGGCTCTGGCAACACGTCAATCCTTGCAGGACTGTCCGGCTCGGACTTGTCTTCTTCAGTGTCCATTAGAGGGCTTGCTGGCGGCTGCATTTTCAGTATAGCTGGCTCTATAGGCACCGGATCCAATTTCTTTTCAATTTTTAGTTTTAGAGGATTTTCTTTTGGTTGTTGAACGGGAGGTACAACAACAGGGGCAGGGATGACAGGTTCTTCCTTCTTTGCCTTCTCTGGGTGGTCAACAACAGGTTCGGGAGTCGGGGCCGCAGTGACTGTAATAATGGGGGGCGCGAGCGTGATGGTAGTGCTTGCAGTAGGCGCCGCCGTCGGTTTGGGCGGTGGTGAATCTGGTTTCATTTGCGGCGGAGGAGTTTTGGGCGGTTCAGGTAAACTCTCTTTAGGCTCTTTATGTTCTTTACTATCTTTCTCCTCGATTACTATTTCTTTGACTGGTGCCACAACTTCAGGCTCCATAGGTTCGTCTTTCACGGGGGTTTCTGGGGTCTTGGGTTCCTCTACCACTGGTAACGTGGGCGTAAGCTGCCTTACTTCTTCCTTTACAGGGATATCTTCGGGTTCATCATCTGATGACTGCTCGTCATCCGCTGGACTGTCAGGGGAGTCGTCTATGAGTTCTCTTAATTTGGACACCTTGCTTTTCTTTGAATATGTTTCTTGGTTTTTGGCTGGGGTGAATCCTTCAAAGGTTGGTCCTGAACTACCATCGCCAGGGAATGAATCATCGTCGAGGGAGAACAGACCATCTTTGGAGTCATCCTCGGGACTCTGTCGGTTAGCATCTCTGGTGACGCCGAAATCTCGGAAGGGAGACAAGGAAGGTGACCTGAGGGATGACGGCCGGGGCCGCATGGGATCTTCTGAGATTTCTTCACTTAGTGACTTGGATAAGGTGGATGTGTACTTGCTGGGTGAAATGTCATCGAATATTCGATGGGTGCGCTTTTTCTTTTCGTCGTGCAATTCTAGCTCGAAGGGTTCTGGTTCTTTGAATTCATACACGTCTTCGGGCTGTTTGTCTTGCTGCATGGGCTCGGGTGGGGGTGCAGCGGATTGCGAGGGTGTAGCCTCGTCAGTGTCGGTGGCATCTTGCTTGCTATCTTCGGGCTCCTGTTTGACAGTTTGTAGCCCTTTAAGCTCGGAGCGTATTTCATTAAGGTCGTAGTCTCTGCCTTGGTGGCCGGGGGCGGTAGGCCGTGGCTTCTTGGCCGGAGACACCGATGTTGGCGTGGACACCGTCCTCACTGGCCGTTTACGTGGCTTGCTCGAACCACTACTGTCACTTGACTTCACGTCTTTAGATCTTGATGGAGCTACGGAAAATAGTTTTGATTTAAAATAGAACCAACTGGATGCACTTAAAAACGTTAAAAGCACCAAAAAAAAAACTTGTGAAAATGAATATTTTAAATGGATGAGTTCAAAAGATTCTAAGAAATATGTTAATAAATAAATAATGAGTTAGCTACTTACTTTTAGAACTAGATTTATCGTCTGACTTCTTAGGTGGCCTCTTGACATCGTCATCGCTTTCAGAATCGCTGTCAGTGTCTGACCGTGCCGACGACTCTGTAGCAATTATTATTACCATTAATTTTCTCATTAAAACTGAAAGTTGAACATGAAATTGTAGAAAAATGATGCATACCTTCAGTCCTCTTACTCCGAACGCGCCTACTCATACCAGAACCCTGGAAAAAAAGAAATAAGTTCCATTACAAAATTCTTATCCTTGAATACTATAAAATAAAGTCTTATATTAATTAATAATTAGTAGTATTTGTCTTTGTGTGTCTGTATGAAAAAAGTAAAGACTTTTTAAGTCTTTACTTTATACTATTGAGATTATCTTAGGAAGGTTTAGGGCCAAGCCTTTCCCCCATTTCCATTTTTATAACAGCCGGCAAGTAATTGCAACCTCCTTTGGTGCTACCAACACCCTAGGGTGGCGCGCGATTGCTTATTTTTCGGTGATGCATCTGTTGGTATATTGCTATATTCCATAAGACCAGAATTATGAGTTCCGGTTTGGCTTGAAACTCGTCGAATTTCCATGAACTATTCAGGTACTGACATTTCTGTAATAAAATTATAAAGAGTTAAAGAGGTAAGTTTATAGGGGTAATCTTTGGAACTGCTGGTCGGTTTTCCAAAATTCAAATCCAAAACTCGGCACTTATAGTCAACTACACATTTCCCGAGTGCTATAGGCTATAAAACATCACCTTACAACCAATAAGAGCCGTGCAGCGAATGAAACCGAGCGGCAATAGCTAGTTTTGAATATTTTAGTATATTATGTAGGTGACTGTACTTTTTTGTTCCTCTGTTCGTGTTGCGTGACGTTGAGTGCGATGCGTTGCGGCTTGATCCACTCGTCGTAGCGCGTGTTCCAGCCCAGGTAGTGCACGCGAAGTAAGTCACCCGTCGCCGACTTGTCGATCACTTTAGCCTCGTACGTCACCTGCAAACGCACACAATTGGGTAATTTCATTGGTCAAAAATAAACGAATTCGACGTCTTGACTCTATAAAATATTGAAAACTAATTTTTATTTATTGATCTGTCTAAATGCTAAATTTTTTAATCTTTTTTTTAAATTTATTTTTAAGAAGGACTCAAAAATTCTGCCTCATATGTTTGGAGTTTAATACTTTCATAGAAAAGTTTTTGACATTAAGATAAAAATATTGTATTTGACCAGTAGCCATATTAAGTTAGTAAATATGTAAATGTAAAATGAAAAATATAAATGAAATAGGTTAACAAAACAATGAGCACGCTTAATCTGGACGTATTTAAAAAGCTACTACTAGCCGCAAGGAAAAGAGCATCTTGAAGAATTTGAAACTAAGACTTTTTCTAAGGCACAGTGGGTTATTGCCACCAACTTTAAAAGCAACTAATAATTACTCATAATTAGATTGATTAATTACAAACAAATCATACAGTTAAAGAAAAATCTGTATTTACTTACAGTGCTTTGCCCCAGTTATTATTTAATTCTATTAATTCTGTTTGAATTGTATAAATCCTATACTTATCTGAAGTTTACTTCGAAATAATTTAATTCTACATAAGCTCCTACTTTTATAGGTAGAGTAATTACATATTAATGATTACTTGTTAATGTAATGACAATATTAGTGTCGCAACATTCACTCGTTATTTTGTTAATTATGTGATATACTAGATGAGTTCCAATAATGTCATTAGTACCTAATTATGACAAAGAATGTGTGTATGATCTGTGTGGTGATTCAACATTGGTATACTCATTATAGCACCAATACAAACCTTATTGAGTATTATAATATTGACGTGTATTAAACTAAATTTTAATTCTATAGTCTTTAATATACTTAAATGATAAGCAAATTAAGGAAATAAAATAAAACGTTGGAGTTGGAAAACTGCTCATCAAGCGAGTATCGTCCTATATAATTCGTCGTAGAAGTCCCGAAGACGAAAGGACTTTAGATTTGACAGAGATGAGGAACCACCACTCTCTGATAAACCTGAATCTTTTATACTGCTTTCTCCAAACCCCTGGCGTAGTGGTTATGGTAAACCGTAGCTGAGGATTGTCACAGGCCATTGATATGATGTGTTTATTAATTTCTACTAGATTTACTTTAACCTTTGACTTCACAGTTGTAATAAAAAGTCTTGACTTAAGCTTTTATTGTGCCAAGTTGGAATATACTTGTGAATTCACGAAGAATGATAAACTCGTTTACGATTGGCCATTAACACTAATTATGGTTTTTCAATTAACTATCTCTAATTGGGTAGTTTCCTAGGTCAAAAATAAATTAATTCGACGTTTTAATACGATAAAATATTTAAAAATAACTATACTTGTATTCATCGACCGATCGATACACTAAGTTTTAGATAATTTTTTTAGCTATTTTTTTAAAAATAAGTAAGCTATTTGACGCCAAAATGCTATGACGTCATAATTCAATGTTTCAAAGAAAAGTATCGTTTTTGACATTCGGATAAAAGTATTGAATTTGACTAGTTGGAAACAACGTATTGCTTCATATTTTGTCGGCCAGACGGCTACACTTAGGCTGTGACCGACGTAATACCTTTCTTCTAGTGTTACTTGTGGGCGGAGCTGATTGCTTACCATAATATATGTTTATGGCAGCATTATACCAGATACCACAAAAAGACACTGGACAAAACAAAAACAAATGATGTTCTTTTTTTCTTCTAGTATGGATTGGGGACAGATTTGATTGCATTACAATATTTTTTTGTCAAATCGATTGGTGAACTTTCAAAACGCTGGGTGATGCAACATATTTATAAAACCCATGAGAATTTCTTGATCCAGAAATCAATATAAGCATTATTTGCAGTCACCTAAACATAAAGCTAGAGTGAGTATACCACGGCCTCGCAGAAAGCCGACGTGAAACAACTACAACATTGTGTTTCGCCGTGTTACTGAGGTAACCCGAGGCTCAATCCTTTCCCTCACCTAATCCCTAATCCCCAAAAGGTCGGCAACACACTCATAATTCCTATGTAGTTGCGGGTGTCTATGGGCGGGGCTGATTGCTTACTTTTAAGTAATCCGTCAGCTCGTTTGCCGTCTTATCACATTAAAAAAGCAGTAAATAAAGCAATGAAAAACAAAATCTAACTAAAATAAGAAATGAATGTGTGTCGGGCCGTACTTTTACCTTCGATTCGGACTGGGTAGGTCCATAGTACACTTTCAACTTGTCTCCGACTTGTGCTTTCACGTTAGACACTCCGGATCGCGGCGTCGGTTCGTTGGTTGGTCTGTTGGGGAAAAATGGCTTGTATTAGTGGATGATTGAAAACACAAGATAAATAATTTTCAATGTAAGAGAGCCATGCTTCGGCTCGACCGGAGTAATACCACGGTGTAACAGAAAACCGGCGTGAAACATCGACAGCGTTGTGTTTGCCGTGTGAGTGAGGTTACTAAGGGATCAGTCCTTCCCCTATCTCATCCCTCTTCAATACCCGAATCTTAAAATCTATCAGTTGCTATTAGACATACAAAAATATGGTGTTCAAGTTTTTTTTTTTTCATTGTCTGGACTTGAAAAGAGACAGACCTCTGAGTATGTTTCGCGGCATTTCTTCTCAGAATAGTCAGTTAAGAAATGCCGCCTTCATATAGTTTTTTACATATAATTTTGGCGTGTAAAGGTGCCTTATGGCCTATTTACAAAAATGTATTATTAATTGTTCCGCGTTATTTCAAAAAAATTCATATAAAAACTAATTTTTTACATTTTGCAATAAGTATTGAATTTGACTAGTTGGAAATTGCCCTACATGAAATGGTGTATGGTGTAACAAGCGCTTTATATACTTACTCTGTGTTCTTCCTCTTGCGCGGTCGCTTGCTGCTGTTGGAAGCTATCGTATTGCCGCTACTTGCTGAGTTCGCGCTCTGGCTGCGGCGACTCTGCATCTTCTTTATGGGTCCGCATCTTAAACAATAATAATGGTATATTATATTATACATTTCTTTGTTTATTAAGCAAAGTACTTGTGTATCAAATTTGTAATATTTCTATCAAGTTGCAAAGGTTACTACTGTTTAGTTTATATTTATAGCATATATTTGAATGTCGGGTGCAGTAAGATCAACGCAAATGTCTTAATAACGAATGAATGTTGTTTCACAATTCAATATTTGTACTCATTAGAACTAATATATCTTATGAACAGAAACTATATTTTAACAATTATGTATTCTAATCAATGTGGAGAAGGTGGAATTTAGAAGAACACCAACACCTCAATACAGTTGAACCCTATCTTAAAATGAACAAAATAAAAGTAAATATTGAATAAATAATGCAATATAATATGTACCTGGAAGCCCGACCAGAACTATCGCTGTCAGTAGAAGCATGCGGGCGACGAGATGCTCGGGATGTGCCCGCACTTACACCTTCACCTAAAAAAATATATTATAATTACATCTATATAATATAAAAATCAATGCCACTTTTCATTGTAATACTGTAACTCAACAATGCCATTAGGTACCAATTTGGCTAATTCCGGTCTTGATTTCTTCGTGGCAGTCCAGGGAAGGTTTGAAAGGCCAAAACAAATAGTTATATTTAAGGCAGTACGGAGTACGCCAGGTCAGCTAGTTATACATAAATACACTAGTTTCTGACATCCACTTCGGCCACGTTACCCGGATAAAAAGTAGCCTATGCTTTATTTTAGACTATAATCTCTAGTGAGAAAGTGCTAATTGTAATTAAACACTATGTTATGTTTACGTGATAGGAGTCAGATGGATTATTAATTACTACACTTATAAAGTATACAAACACGGCGAATTCCTAATGGCCAGAGAGTGAAGTCACGTTCACGGACGGAATGTGTATGTATGAGTATGTGACATTATGTGTTTATGGCACAGAAAAACACATAAACTACGTTAAGAGTTTATTACAATGCTTTACTTACTTTTAGAAGATAGAGGGCGTCGTTTCGGCGTCCGTTTTTCATGGCTCTCAGTCTTAACGGGCGTGATGGTCCGTCCCTTAGACTGTGACCGTGGTTTTACAACTACTTTCTCTTTTTCTTCACTCGTGCTAGTCGACGCTGAACTCTTGTCTTTACTATCTTTTTCTTTTTCCTTCTCTTTTTCCCTTTCCTTCTCCTTTTCTTTTTCCTTTTCCTTCTCCTTTTCTTTTTCCTTCTCTTTATCCTTTTCCCTTTCCCTTTCTTTTTCTTTGTCCACTCTGTTGAAAAGGAACACAGAACATTTGGGATTATGCTTTTGTATGTTAAATAGTATCTCCGCAATAGCTTTATCAAAAAAGACGTTAAAAGATCAGTCATTTAAAAAAATGAGTTTGTAATAAATTGCAACTAACCTAAACGATTGATTAAACCTTTTTTTGGGGACAATACTATGCTATAGTAATAAGATCTAAATTACTGATATAATAAAGTCACTATTCACTAATAATGATACCATGACTAAAAAGGAGTTAACATTTATTGTTGTTGCACAATATTTGAAGAAAGTTACTAATGCACAAAAATACTGCAGTGCAATTTAGGCAGACATATTCAAAAGGTTGCCATCGCATGTGATGTGACGAGACGATCTCTACTTCTACCACTGAGAGAAGAATAATCATCATATACATACTTGGGTGCAGTCACGATCAGTGGTTGATTGTCGGCGCTGTCCTCTCCGTCGCTGGTGCGAGGTTGTGAGGGTTTCTCTTTCACTTTCTCTGCCTTCTCTAATTTCTCCTCCTTCTCACTTTTCTCACTCTTATCGGTCTCACTTTTATCTGAGTCTTTGTCTTTGCCTCGCTGTTTTAAGAACACAGAAGATAATTTATTATTATGACTTCGCAAGGAATATATGGATATATATTATAATTGCTTTTTTAACACCTCACTGAGAAAATTAAAACTTTTCTTCTAAATAGGAGTCAGCACATTTATGATAGATTTTTTTATTATGGTTCCTATAAATTGCCTTTTTGCATTACAATTCTGTGTGATGTTTTTTAATATTTTTAAGTTTATTTACTTTCCCAATAGACATCATTATTCATACAATAAAATTGTCTCAGGTGTTCTTTTATTATACTCATAGTACACCTTGTTTAGACTATAGCGAGTTATATACAATTTGTTTTTCTTCGATTTCAAGTGAAGTATCTAGTTAGCACATTACCTGTGTGGATGTGGAAGTAGAGGGTCCCTGCGCGGGGGGTGTGGGAGTGGAACAGTTGGAGGAGGAGGCGGGGGGCTGGCGGTCGCGGTCGCGGATGAGGGAGCGGCCCGCCGGCGGGGTGCGGGCGCCGCGAGGGTGCGCCACCAGCGTCACGCCCAGCTTGCGGTAGAAGTCCTCGTAGCTGTGCAGGAACCTGGGGGGGACGCGTACACATATTACATCTGTACTTGTTAAACTTTACTAACGTACATATTAATATCTAAATGGCTTTATAACGTAAAGATAGCCAAAAATTATTACTAATTGTAGGCTATCTTTACGTTTTACTAAGGGCTCTATTTAAGCTCGAAACTAATCAAGTGTTCCATATTTGAGTAATAATATTTGATGATGATTTAATTTTACTATCATTCAAGAATAATAACTGTATTTTGCAACAGTTACAATATTAATATTAACCCAGCTTAAAATATTAACTTATAGTTGTAACAAAAAATATCATTTAATATGTCTCATAGTTAATAATGTAATGTATAATTATGTAACCTCTAACATGTTTAACAATTCGCTAAGACTATGAATACTACGATATCAAAGACATTCATACAACGACAAAGACCTTTGCGGTTAGGTTGTAATTAAATGATTATGCAGTGACAAACAATACATTTTTGTAGTTAAAACAGGTACTTACTTCTTATAAGCTTGCTTGCAGAGGTTCGTGATACTGGTGGTGACTGGGTGGAAGCCCATCTTATCCGCGATTGCTTTCCATTGGTTTTGATTCGTCACTCTGTTGTAACCACCTAACTTTTCAACAACCTGTTAATTATATAAAAAATATGTTAAATACAACAAGACCGTTTTCTAATATATATACTTTATTGATGAATTTATTGCTGATGCAACCAGCGAAGGTTGGTTTCCAGGCCAGGAAAATCTTTATCTTCACAGATAATATTTCATTATAAGATTTATTTATTACGTTGAGCATAATTTTTAACAGATTTTGTACGTTTAATTACATACGCTTAGCCTAGGCTACAATTTTGTTCGATGTTTGACAACAAGCTCAAATCCTGTTACATAGGACTCGAGCCTGTTGACGGAAACACCTGTCGACTTTTTGTATTTGAGAACTCATCTAATTGCTGTGCATTTTGTCGAATGATGCTCAATTAATATACTTTTCATCATACATCTATCTATACTAATATTATAAAGAGGTAAAAGTAAGTTTTTATGTAGGTTGTAATATTTGGAACAGCATGTCGGGGTTTCAGAATCCTTTCACTGATAAAAAAACAATGTTCCTGAGTGCTTCTGGCCCTGGCTATAAAACAACACCCTACGACATTAGATAGTACAAACATATGTACATGCCGTCCCGTCTGTTTTCTGTTGGGGTAGTCAGTGGAACTGTCGGACAATCTGCTATTCTCATCATTTGATGCTGATGATGATCTCATCAAATGATGAGACTACACATCGGCCGCTAGGAATAGCTTGCAATTTTCGCTTCCTCTAAAATCGTCGATCAAAAAGATCGATTAACGCTTTTAATAGGTGTTCTGTTTTGGACTATATTTAAACCTTTTTTGACAGTAAGACAACCGAATGCAGCAATGTTTTACTTAGCTTTTAGATTTTTTAAATTACAACACAAACTCACTTTAAACAGTCTATACAGGTCAATGTCCTTGTTGGCTATGGTCGGGTTCCTGTTAAGGGGTGTGCCTCGCTCGTCCATGAACTTGTACAGTTGTGCTACGAAGTGGTCCTTCTCTTCGCGCGGCTCATCGTCCGAACTCTGCAATATAAACAATTTATTTGTCACATGATTAGTAGATTTAAATTAATAATTCTATTCAAAAAATAATAATGTTAAAAGAAAAAGTTTGTGCGAAAAAGTTTTATTACAAAAATGGTCGCTAGTTTAATTTAGAACTTACATCATCCGAAGTATTTCTCGGTTCATTGAAGAGTGCATCTCTGTCCCAGTGTGGGGGTAGCACTGCGTTATTCAGGTACTGTAAAGCTGCGTCCACACCGGCCCACTCCAGAGGAGCACTGCCTTTACGGAACTCGCGCGCTTCTTTTTTCGGCACTGTGTAACTGTAGGACAAGATGGTTTTTTTATGGAAAAGGTCACATGGATCACGTTGCGGTATGTATTGTGTGCCGCCCATGGACAGCCCAGTCACAGGCGCGTTGTCGGCCTTTATTTATGTTATATCAAATTAAATAGAAAGAGAGTACCATTTTTTCTTTTTAAGTTAAATTGTGTTCAAGATATACTAAGAATAGCTGTAAGAATGCGATAGACCTCCTGCAGTGTCACACTTCTTGGCAGACCATAACAGAAGAGTATTTTGACTTAATTTTTTCTTTCTACTTGACGTATTTCCTTTTTTGATATAAGCTCAATAGTTTCGCAAAACCACTGTAACTAAAGTAAGGCAGGAACTACAGTTTATGTTACCATGAAAACACCGAAACTCTGAGTCCAGCATGTCTTGGATTCCGCAACAACATAAATAACAAAATTAATCATAAGAGGAGAAGAAACAAATAGTATCAACTTCTATTTATGATTTTGTACCACAAGTGATGTTGAAGAATTTCTTTGATAATAAACTCACTATCGGCCATCTTTGAAGGAGCGCACTAGATAGTCTTCTTTGACTTTGATCTGAGCTGTGGGTGCGACGACGAGGGCGGGGAAGGCGGGCTGGTGTGGACGGCGTCGTTCCGCTCCGCCGCCCGCCTCCACCAGTACCACGCGCCCCACGTGCGGCTCTACGTCGGCCTTCACGCGACGACCCGACCCAGATCCTTCACTTTCCTCAGACCTAGATCATAATAAAATCTTTTGTTGATCTCATGTTATTTTAGCGCCACATTCGGCTATAGATGACAAAAAAAAATGTACTTAAAATAAGTTTTTTTTTGTCGGCTATGGTCGACATCAGCGCAATTTTTGTTTGTCACCTTTAGCAGACCTTGACGCTAAAATACATTAATTTAGTCAAAGCAAATATGAAGAAATAACATGATTTTGATATTGATGAATGATATTTGAAATACAGATATAGATAGACTGAAAATTACGAGAGTTCCATTACAATAACTAAGACCAACCAATATTTTACATAATTACAAGATTTTCTCAATACAATTTTATGATAAGATGACCAGGCATGACTGAGGAGCATGAAGATGACTGGCGAAGAGTGAAAGCGAATTAATTTAGTCTGTACTAGTAACCAGACATTGTGAATCAGGCCCTTAGTAAAATTGTGGGTTACCGATTTTGTGATCACTAGCTAATTCTCTTTTGGGCAACAGGAGATCGCGCTAAATAAGCAGCACCTAATGGGGAAAATATGGTGTCTCTATGTTAAAGGTATTCAACATACTGGGCTCTCCCGCGTCTTCCCCTCCGGCCTGCTATTACTGGAGTGGAGAAGTGTTCTGGATGTGTGAGTGGTAGCTGGTCTAAGGTTTCGCTCTCGTTGAAATGCCGCCCACTCTTTAGACACAGCGCCGAACGACGCAATGTGGTTATGTCTCCATCATCAAATACTGCATAATAAAGAAAATAAGTGAAATTTTAGAAAAATTTTGAATTCAGATGTTTTGGAAATGTTACAAATTTTACAGGAAAATAAGTCAAATTCAAACCTTTTATTAATATGAATAAAGACTATTGTCATTTTTGATATGAAGCAGAAAAACACATTTTAGAATTAGTAATTTTAAATATCAACTTTGCAAATTGCTTACCAACTGTATATTGGCTACAATCTTGTATTTTTGTGATGACAGCTTCCATTGCATCTTTCTTTGGATCCTGCTTCACTTCCACTATGCTCCCAACCCTTAGGTTGCCTTTAATCACATCATCATTCACTGTGATAGTGCCACCACCAGCTTTTAAAGTGACCTATAAATAAAACAACAGATAATGTTATTTATACAGTTCTGTACTAGCATTTGAATCATTAAGTTTTGTCAAACAAAAAAGGAGAAATGTATTCTTTAACAAATCAATGATTTCTTACCTTACACTTAATGTTCCTAACAACTTTCTTTATCTTAGCCTCACAGAAGGCACCTTTATACTTTGCACTCACATCCGTACCCACTGGCAAAAAAGGTGGGTCGTCACCCTGCTGGAAAAAGACAATATAAGATTAATATAAGACCTCCTTAAATTGTTATTTTTTATAATAATCTTTAGTAACTTTTTTACTTACCATTGTATATGATGCCCTCTATTTACCAGGCAATTCTGGAACAATACATATATATATATAAATTATTAATTTGGTTAACACAATATTTTGGTAAGACATGTTATAATTACTAAAAATAATTTGGTTGCTTGGTTTATTGGTTTATAAAACATATTTAAAGAGTAACCACCTTCTATTCTAGGATCTTGGCAAAGAATATAAGTACCAAAGTGCTTCTGCTATGATACCTTTATTTTGCCTTACTATACCATGATAAATTACACCATGGTTAACTTTAACTATTTAACTTTAAATATTTTTTTTACAGAAATACAAAATTATATGGGTGGAGTACAAGACAATTGTGAAATGTTTGTTTGGATATTGGATTGATTTATAGTAATATCATAGAATCAAATTATCATTTAAGCCCCTTAAATGCGTGGATATTAGAAGTGGGACCAGGAAGGTAAAATTGAACTTAGCGCAAATAGACCTTGATAATATAGGTCAGACCTGTATACATGATTCATGTAGGAAAAGAACTTGAAAGAGGAGGCCCAGCAATGGTGATGTTTTAAACTACACATGCGAGTTTCAAATAACTGCACGATTAGTAACTTGTGATAAAAAGTTAGTGATATCGCAAACCCAAAACTCTCGAACAAACTACATACTTATAAACATCGAATGACGCCCTATTATTGATATCTATCTAGTGAATGGTCGGCACTTCGAATTATTCAGAACAAGCTGCTTTTCGGTACATTTAGAGGAACTAAACAATCACAACAAGCAGTGATTGACAAGACACATTGACAACAAGCATTGGGTGAAAAAAGAAAGTGGATGGCGCGATAAATATCAGACACAGAGCATTCACTTACCGTACAGTGATATATTTGCCAGCTTCTTTAATTTATTATATACGACATCTAAATGCCACAAGTTAAGTGAATTACAAATGGAGATACCATAATATTAAACCCCACATCTATTCCACTCTCCGTGTTTGCTTCACTGACAGGACATAGACAAGTAGAGAAATAGACGACACAACAACATGACATTAGCAAATAAATATTGCCAGACTAAGGCAGATTTTACGGCTTCTATCGATTTATTCTACAATTTCTTTTCTTTTTCTGGAGCTAGTGACCTAATTTTGACTATGGTGTCCATTAACAATCTGTTTACATTCACTTTATCTGTGGCTACAGGAAAGAATGACACAAATGAACATTGAACACGTCAAACAAAAATAGTTTTGTGTTTTACGAAGATATGAAATGATGTTTTGAAAATGTATTTATTGACGGACTTACGATTTTGGAGTGCGTAGAAATTTCCTAGATTGATTCGTATAAAAAATATATTATATCGGCGAATTGGCTTTATACCAAAATGAAGGCTTTACTAGCAACTGTGATCAGTCTTGGACTTACGACTGTGGTTATCGGCAATGCCTATTACCAGAAAAAACAGTTTTACCCTTCGATAGTTTATCTAACAAATTCTAATCCAAGCATGGCTGTAAGTAACACATAATTTTCTTATTATGAAACTACAATCTTAAGGATCCATACACAACTGTGTAATAAAAACAATATTTTGACCATGACAATATTATGTAAAGTTTTGCATATGTGCAATATGTCCTGATGGTGTCTTGATACTGTATTAATAACAATCTTGTAATTGCAGGTAATGTATTTGCAAGCCTTTATACTAGTACTACTAGTTGGTAAACTATTGAGGAAGATATTCTTTGGGCAACTTCGTCCAGCAGAGTTTGAGGTAATGACTGTAATTAGTTAACATAATAAATTCACAATTCTCAGTCAACTAGCTGTAGATCTGTGATTATGTGTACAGTGTGTAAAACTATTTAAACATGTCATATTTTTTGCAGCATTTGATTGAAAGGTCGTGGTATGCTATAACAGAGACATGTTTGGCATTCACAGTGTTCAGAGATGATTTTAATCCAAAGTTTATTGCGCTGTTCACTCTCCTATTATTCCTCAAAGCATTCCATTGGCTGGCTGAAGATAGAGTAGACTATGTAAGTAATGATTTCTATTTTTAATGAGACAAATGAACTAATTATAGCAAGCAATTAAGGAATTTATATCGTCTGGCTCCCATTATGATGCCAGGTACATTATACATTGTTTAAATTGTAATCTTTTGTTGTAAACAAATGATAATAAGCATTTACTTTTTTATTTTTTCATATTTTCATCACTTATTTTATTTTTTATAAACACTTATGACATGAACATTTGTGCCTAAGTAGTCACTTTCTGGAATGAACCTTTGACGTATAGGCTGTCAATTCTTAGATCTAAAGAGCAAAATATAGAAAACAATGTAGTATTAACTTTTTCAGTTTAGCAGCATTGTTAATTTATTAACAACATACTGTATGTAATGAAGATTCATTGTAGCATTGCAAAGGGTTGAATGATAATAAGCAATGAAAATCTAATTTTTATAGTAGATGTGAAATATTTTTATAGTTATTTAAATATGATTATTGTAACTTATGTTGAAATAGATGTGCCATATTCTGTAATCACTACTTTGGAAACATAGCAATGTTTTGTTCATTGTATGGGTCATTACAAAAAAGACATTTTCAGTAAAAACTATATTCATACATCTTATTTGATAGTGATTAGGGAGGAAGCCAATAAACATGTTTATTTAGTGTCTGTCTAACATCTTTTTTCCTTCCATTTGCATTCAGTTATCAGACTATAAACAAATTAGTTCTAAAAACAAAATGGCAATGCACATACTTCTATAACATAGTAAGACTTACAAAAACTATTAAAAAATAACATTATTATTATTTTTTTTTTAATGTAATTGGTCGGCAAACGAGCAGACGGATTACCTGATGGTAAGCAATCAGCGCCGCCCATGGACACCCGCAACGGAGGAGTTACAAGTGCGTTGCCGACCTTTAGGGATTAGGGATTTGGAGATTAAGGGATTGAGGGAGGGGAAGGATTGGGCCTCCGGTAACCTCACTCACACGGCGAACACAACGCTGTGGTTGTTTCACGCCGGTTTTCTGTGAGGCCGTGGTATCACTCCGGTCGAGCCGACCCATTCGTGCCGAAGCATGGCTCTCCCACACTTACACTACATTTGGTTAGCTAAGACATAATAATAAGTTCAAATGTGTTTGTCACATTAAATTAGATTCATATTTAAAGAAGATATAATCAAGTGGATAAAATGAATAAAGCAATAAAAATTCTTTATTATTTAGATGGAGAGGAGTCCAGTGATAGGGTTGTTGTTCCATGTGAGAATACTAACACTACTGATGCTGCTGGCTCACGCTGACTTCTACTTCATCCACCATGCATACCAGTTCACAGCTGTAAAGGGACCTTCTGTTCAACTCGTATTTGGCTTTGAGTACAGCATTTTAATTATAATGATTGTCAATATATTGATTAAGGTGAGTATTTATGGGTAACTTTATTCTTGATTCAGCTGTTTCTTATGTTTTCAAAGAATTATTTTACTTATAAATGTTCTATTTTATTTTGTATGATTTGTAGCTGTAGTGGGTTTCATTTCAAATATCATTTTAAACTGCTATTATTTTTCGTATTCTTTTGAAACTTTAGTGTGGTTAAGTATTTAATCAACTGTATATCCATATCCATATTTGGAATTACCCATATTTAGTCATTACTATACTTTACAAATAAGATTATCTTGTAAAGTACCTATGTATGTTAGTAATCATTTACTATAGTGTAATTGACTCATGGCATGTTTATTCCCTCAGTATGTTCTCCATGCTATTGACTCGCGCTGGGAAGCCCCATGGGAGAGCAAAGCCGCAGTATTGCTGTACACAGAGCTGGCTATTAACTTCCTTAAAGTTCTCCTCTACATTGGCTTTGTGGCAGTCATGGTCAGAATTTACACATTACCACTCTTTGCATTCCGACCTATGTATGAAACTATGAGGTAAGTACATAAAACAGGTGATAAGTTATTATCACTTAGTTTTTCTTTTATAATGGTAATTAAAATTGACACTGAGTTTTAATGGTCTTGTAGAACAAACCAGTTTCTTATCTAAAATTAGTTAACACCCAATTATGATAGAAATAGGCTTTCCAGTTGTAAAGTAGTAAGACCAAAGTCAAAGCAAAAGCACAAGTAACTTATGTAATTCATAGATACTGGTGAACTTCAGTTATTATTGTTATATATGAAAAACTTGTCTCATTTACGACAAGTCCTTATAACGTCCTCAAGAACTATACCAGTTGTTTCTTTTTCAAACAATTCGACGGATTTCCTGATGGTTTGCAATAGGCATTGTCCATGATCATACCCAATACCAGAGCAGAGGTGAGGAACACAGAGCTACCATTGTTTCACGCTGGTTTTCTCTGAGGCCATGGTATTACTCCTGTAGAGCCGGCTCATTCGCATCGTAGCAATATCTCTGACCCCTACATTGTTTATAGCTCACTTAGGTTTATTGAACTTATGTTAATATTTAAGTAAGATTAAAAAATATAACATCATCATGACTAGGCACTATTTCTACTTTGTAACAAACATGTTTACATTTAACAAAAGTCTAGTTATATCAGAATGCAAGATCTTTGCACATAAATATTTATATTCTATTCATTCATATTCAATATAACTAGCTGTGCCACCCGGTTTCACCCATGTAGTTTATAGTCTGTTCACTGTGGATAGTGTGGCTGCCTAACAAAAACATTATTTTTTCAAATCACTCAAGTATTCAGAGCCTATTGAATACAAACAAACAATCAAATCTTTCCTCTTTCTAATTATTAGTCTAGATATGTATCAGATATGAATGGGTATTCAAAGAGTTTATAACTAAACTTTGTTGTCAATGAAGTGCATAAGATGCATAATAAGATTGCATAAGTGATAATGGAGTAGAATACAATGGTGTGCTAAGTGGGGTCGAGGTCAGGTATAATGGTTGTTGTGATTGCAGGAGTTTCAAGAAAGCGTATAATGACGTGGTGCTGTCGAGGCGCGCTATTCGCAACATGAACACTCTGTACCCGGACGCCACGCCCGCAGAACTTGCTGCCGCCGACAACGAGTGCATTATATGCCGCGAAGAAATGCATACTGGTCTGCAATCATTATTTCATATTTACACACTTTTTTCACAACAAACGTTATAGATAAGTAAAGCGATAAAGTAAAACGTGACTTATAATCAATATCAATAATTACATAATGATTTCAACCATTTTGGTTACTCGATTTGCATATAACTTGTGTGTACTGATTTTGTGTTCGCGATTTATTCTTGAATTGTTAACTTTCGTATTGATAAATTACAAGGCTGGTGAAACCTGAGCTCGTTTGGTTGAATTAAGATTTAACTGGTAGGTGCGAGGTTACGTGACCTGAAATCCTTCTGAGTAATTAGTGTAGCGTGTTTGTATCTAACATTACATACCTATGTATTTTATTTATAATATTTTTATAAAATCTGTATTGACTGGATATACAGTTCAGTAAATAATAACGATAATTTAATTTAACTTCAGGTGCAAAGAAGTTACCGTGCAATCACATATTCCACGCGGCGTGCTTGCGGCTGTGGTTCCAAAGACAACAGACGTGCCCCACGTGTCGGTTGAACGTGCTGCGTGCACCGGCGCCTGAGGCGGCCGGGGCGCCGGGTCCTGCGCCCCCCGCACCGCCGCTGGTCGGCCTGCCACCCCACGCCGCGCCTGCGCCCCCGCCACCCGGACCTGTACCTCCTCCCTTCCCGAACATGCCTCCTCCGCCACGTAAGTACACTTTGCGTGTTCCAATTATTTGACCTCACGAGTATAAGTAGAGTATTTTCTTCCTATGTGATTATGTAGGTTAGGTAGTTTAGTTATGAAGATTTACCATTTCAAACTAAATAAGCATTTCCTTCATTTTTTTAATAAAAAAAATGGTTTATAGCATATAGCATGGCAATATAGCTGTCCAGTAAAAGCAATAACGCCTGTGTTACGCGCCTTTTACAAAAAAATGATTTAATATTTTAAATATGTCATATACTAGCCCACTATTAAATTTACTTTTACTCATATCGATTTTGTTTGTGATACAGCAATGATGGCGTGGGGAATGCCGCCGCCTCCGCCGCCGCGCCCGGCGTCTCTTGCCAACCTCACCACCGCGGAGCTGCAGCGCATGGAGGGCAACGAGCGCAGGAACATTGAAGCCAGGCTACAAGTAAGCTTACACTATCATTAAAACTAAAATATTTTGTAACTAATCTAACATTGGTTGTTATTTAAAGCATTTATAAAGCTGGTAAATATTAAAATAAATAGTAAAATATATCTAAATTTTCCTAAAAATATCAAGTGCTTTGCGACTTGCTACATTTGACGGGGTAACTCGATCAGTTTCAAGTTAATCTAGGGATTGATAGTCAGCCTAGCCTAATTGAGCATTGCATGACAAATGACACGGCGACCGTTGCGTAGCCATTTAACTTTATTACGTACTTACCTGAGTTCAGGAGTTCATCTGATAGGGCTGATGTTCGGCCTGGTTTGCGAATGCCAGCGCCAGAATGTATCATGGCTCTAGTCTTGAGCAGGAGAATTCAAGGAGTGGTTTTTAATCAATAAGAGTCTGACACTCCCTCTCGCTTAACCTAGGGCCAGAGAAGTTTGATGATTTTACTCCTCAAAAAAGCAGTTCATCATTGTATGTTTCAATTAATTGATGTTTCAATAACAATTAGAAATTACAATTCTTATATTAATTGTTGCTCGCGGCTAACTCAGATTTGTATTAAACATTTTCCATGACTTTTCTCATTAGGTACAGCATCCAATATTTACCTTGTCTGTCTTTGCAGTTGCTTCGAGAAATTCAAGCAATGTTGGACGCATCCGTGCTGCTCATGCAGCAGTACTCGACGGTCGTAGCTAACTTGCCGCAAAACAACGTGACTGTGTCTACGCAAACGGAAACGTAAGTACTATTTACTATATAACTTTTTGTAATACCAAAATCGTCATAATAGGTAAAAAAATAGGTCATTCTGGCAATTTTTTCTACAAAACCTAAGACTAATTTATTCAAAATGGCCGTGAACACGAGGAGACTTGTGACAACAGAATAATACGCAGGAGACATCTGGCATAACAATTAATTGCGACAGTATTTCTGGTTTGACTCATTAATACTTTGCTCTGCGATCCAGACGTTTTATTAACTGGACCAAAATTCTCACAAAACCACCATATAAAAAAACATTACATTTATAATCAGGCGTTTACTCCATTAGGACTTATTTATGCCTGCCTAACTGCCGGCCTGGCAGTCTTATTCAATTAAATTTGCCTTACGATAGTTCTTACACAATAATTGTTATAGCCTCTAGCGAGTACTAGGCGTGATGTCATAACTTAATTATTTTTACAGAAGAATAGAGGAGTTAATAAAGGAGTCCCCGATATCGACGACTCAAGGGAAATCGGAGCCGGACGTGGTGCCGACCACTTCAAGTTACAAGCAACCGTCGCCAGTGCCCTCCACCAGCAAAACTATAGTCACGGAGGACACAAGTCCCATGCAGCCTGATACCACTACTCCTGTAGACACTAATAGGTAATTAATTTACCGAATTTCCGTTGACTAGTGTACACTAGACACCACTGAAATTGGCTAAATGCGACTTTAATTTTTCAGAGACAAGACTGATGTGGACGCGGCCGACGAGTTGAGAAGACGTCGATTGCAGAAGTTTGCGTTGGATAAATGAGCTTGTTTATATCTTTTCGTTTCGATTTATTGATGTACTATTATTTAATGTACAAAGTGTTTTGGTATGTGTAAGCATTATCTATTCTAATTCTAATCTGAAAAATAAATGTATTTATGTTCTTGTAAATATAATGGGATATACACATGAATACATTACAATCTTACTTTGCTTTCTTATCGATACATACTCTCTTCTATATGTCTATTTATTCTATCGTTAGGTTTGGAGTTTGTATTTGAAATGATATACACCTTCAGAAAAATAAATGAAATTTTGAAAAATTGCTGTGAGAGAAGGAGTTGTGATGAAATAAAACAATTTTTTACACTATTTAATTAATATAATTAGACTACTCTATTAGATAAACTTGGTGGCTTAACAGTTATATAAAGCATTTATGTACCCATATACTTTGTTGTTATAATTCTCTAAGACAGGCATTCCACCAAAGTAACGACTGGAGCCATACAGTTTGAGGTTGTTCTTGCAGTACCAGACGTTTTTAGTGCCCTCAGTTCCATCTACATTCAAAGTGTTCAATTCCAAAACCCCAAAATGGTATTTTTGACCATCTGTTTGTATGCAATTTATGTATATTGGTTCCGGTAGGTCTTTTACATCCTCCTGTGAGTAAACATACACATTTATTAGTATATTGTAATATCTAGTTTTGGAGAAAAGCATGGAAATTAAACTGTGTTATTCAATTTTTGTCCATTTTAAATGAGTCTACCTCATTTAGTACCCATTTTTGCACCTAACTGTTGTAGAAAACAGGACTGAGCTGAGTTTGAATAGCAATTAACTAAGACAATACTTGTATAAAAATCTCAATACAATTCTATAGTAATCTAGGTAAACAGAAAAAAATATTTAAGATATGATCTTGTTCATTGATTAGCCTTTGTAGCTGTGGTCCATACAGGAATACATAAACTAATACTTTGGATAGAGCAATATCAAATACAATCCTTACTTTAGCTTTTCCCTTATTTATACATTTGTGCAAGACTAATCTACACCTGGTCTAGTAGTAGTATTAAAAATACCCACCCCATGTAGTTGTTTAGCATAAGCACTGGCAACAGTGAATGCATGTGTCAATGACCTCCCAAGGATCTGCTGTTCAGTGACTGGGGTCTCATAGATGTTGCTCACTTCACTTTTATTGAAATGCAGCCATGTTGTGTGTGGGTGTCGCACATTTACTGTAGGTTTTATTGCTGAAACACATAATTGTCATTGGTTAGCACATACATTGACTATTTGTTTTAAACAATAGCCTTAAAAGATATAGGAAAGGAATTGTAATTACAATAAATAAAATTGTAAGAAAACAAACCATAATGGATTATCAGGTTTGTTTTCAATAAAAAAAAACCATTTTAGATACAACAAAGAACACTTACGGTATTTGCTTTCCGATTCATAGAAATGTTCAGGTGGTAATGTTACAGTGTGTTTAATGGGATGCAGATCCGGAATCTCATTGAATGTGACATTGCTCTCTACATCATGTTTTACAGGTTTGTTGCTTGTCACCAGGATGTGAGAAATATCTTGAAACTGTATCAGGTCATCTTCCTTCTCAAATACAGATTTGCTTTCAACATCATTGAGGATGTATCTGGACAGTGTTACCTCACTGTCACTGCTCTTTTCCACCAGTTGCACCAATTTGTTTGTCAGGATTTCACTGTAATGAGGAATTGAGATGATTTTTGATACATAATACATGTGAAACTGGTAAAACTACTGCTTCTTTAGGTGATACCCAAGAAGAACAAACAGGCTGCTGTTTATCAACATACCATGAAGGCAAAGCTGCTGTTAGAAAAATAAAGTGTAATCCAAATATAATCGTTTTCAAAATTCAATACAATATAAGTATTTAAACAAGTAACTACATCTGGATGGTAAAAGCAAAGCTAACAATGTACCTTCAGTAGGAACATCTAATTTATTATTGGTTTATGATAGAAAAAGCATGCATACTTACTTGCGCCTTCTATCTGTGATACCCAATACTCTGGGAAAGTTATAAGCTGGTCTTTCAGGATCTTTTATCTTAGACAACTTCTTTTGTTCACAGTCAAATACATTAGCTGATAGAATGGCTTTCTTAATGTTTTCGTGAATAGCTGAAGGAGCTGGCACTTCTGCCAATTCCTCAATCTTAGGTGGCAGTTTATTTTCTGCTATTATAGTTTTAGTGAGTACTTGCGCTTGTGATATCCCTTCTAGTAGCACATTTGTATTTCTTAGGGTGAAACATGGCTGTTCCTTGTAATCAGGGTGATTTTCATCGAGGGGTAATGGCCTTTCATAGGGCCCTACTATATTGAGTCTGAAAGTATTTTTTTGTATTAATATTATTTACTAATCAATTATAACGGAATGACAGTATTGAGTACACCTTACCGTTCGTGTTCTACAGGTTTTCCTTTGACGAATTCAAGAGCATCTTCAAACTGAATACCTTTAGCTTTTAACTGTTCCTCGAGTCCAGTATCAATGGGCACGCGTTTGCCTTGTACCCGCCAATGTTTCTTGAACATAAAGTCAATGTGTTGTCGACTTAATACTTGTGATAGCCGCATTGTTGTTAATATTTAACAAAACTTAAAACAATTAACCTGAAATCGGAAAATATAACCTATAATCATTGGCATTTGACAGATTTGACATAATGGAAAATCGATGACAGTTGACATTTGACATTTGGAAGCTCAGCTTTTTTTGTGTGAACCTGTGTCTATTTGCTATAACCCTCTGTGAATACTTTTTCTTCGTATTTTCCAAATAAGGTGTGTTTTTAAACATAGGTATTTATTCAATGCGTATGCTTATTTAATAAAGCTTCATGTCATTTTTAGAGCTTTATTTTATACTTTTATTTTTCTTCTTTTATACATACCATTGGCGATACAGGAAGGGGAACCTTAACAATTTTATAATAGTGCTTATTAATAATAAGTTTTTGATTTTATCGTAATTACACATCTTGATCATAGTCAGAGTCAACTTGAGTGTCATATTTTTTCAGTTTAATAAACGAAAAATTACATTAACAGTAAAAGTACAGTTTTCAAACTAGTAGTTTTGGGACTATTGACAGTATTAAGTTTCGAAAACTATAGAACACCTAAGTATTTGTCAACTATATAATGTGTGAAATATTATAATGGATCTCACGATAGTTATTATAAAAACATATATGGACTCATTTCAGCCGTAGTTTTTCACCAACAGCTCGAGACAGGCAACTGGTGGACTTTGGCCCTATGGGCGTCCTTTACACAGTGACGGATAAGGACTACTTGATGCCGTAAGCATTTACGCCTGTGGCCCCCATATCTGTATGTCAACAAGAATCGGTCTTTATGCCTTTACCCCCTAAAATCATAAGATTTTTGTAAAATATGATGTTGTGACACCAATAAAAATAAGATAGGATTGACGTCCAATATTTTACCATATCGGTAATATTGATAAATTATCCTTTCTTGTATCATCTTTGTTCTTTTTCATGATTAATTTTTTTTTATTTTGAAAAAGAGCATTTTTTTTGTGAGGTGAAATCTTCAAATGGCTACTACTGCCCAGGGTCGGGTGGGAGTCAGTGTCAGACTCTTACAGATATAACTGCATCACAGAAAGAGGAGACGGGATCCCTGTTGCTCTCACTACGCATCATGACCTCGATTTAGGCCGAGCGCGAGAGGCCGATCACTTTCTTAAGGAAACAGCGGTGCTCAGTCCAAGCACAGCACACCGCCACCGTATGCTCCACCGTGTCCTCTGGGTGGTCCTTACAATGACGACAATCGAGCCTTTACTCCCGCCGGATCCGAAATAGGAACCTACCGAAGCTGCCGTGCTTGGCACCTGCGTCAGGCGGAAGGTGAGAACGCCGTGGCGTCTCTCAAGCCACTACTTAAAGAGGAGTCTTACCACTGCTATAACCGCGTGCCCGTGAAAAAGAACGTTTCGCTGCAATTTTTCATAAACGGAGGGCTGTTTCTTCATTCATTGTATTACATACTCGTATACATAGAAGCCGATTGGCACAATTACTCCAAAAATTAAAGAAGGGGTGGTTTGTGATTGGCTTATCGTAATTCCGGTGCATTTGAATTGCCGAAAGCACTAGCGGACAGCGAGTGGGCAAGCGGGAGCGGGGTTATGTATGACTCCAGGTCGGACTCTATGTCAACTTAAAATGCGCGAATTAGTCCTAGAAACATTTTTTGGGGTGGTTTTTGGTGCCGTCACAGTGAAACGTGGTTCGTGATGTCCTAAGGATGGACTTTTTTGGGCCTCTTCTGTTGTCCCCCCCAGACGTAATGCCCATGGCCCTAGGCAATTGCTTAATTTGATTAAGGGTTAATCGGTCACTGCCTTTACATACTTAGATAATATTTGTCTTAATCAGTATTCACGTCTTCATCAGCATGCTTAGCAGGCAGGAGCAAGATTGTAGTATAAAAGCATCAGAACAGAATCAAGCATCAGCATCAGAAAATTCAGAAAAATCTGCTGTCCAGTCGCTGGTGAATATGCACTCCGGTCTAGATTCGGAAGATACTGTAAAACTGTTATGAAGGAGAATATTGTTGAATTTTTTAGGGCATAGGACATACAATTTGCTTTCAGACTCAAAATCAAGTCGAATTTTGTCTATGGATCGCACAAACATTTGTTCCATGCAGGAATCAAACCAGTGACGCATTGCACAGCGTCGAAGGTGGCGAATTCTTTTTTTAGTGTTGATGTACCTAAGTCAGAACACAGAATATATCGCATTCAGAAAGAAAGACTTATACTGTCAGCGTAGAAGAGCATTAGAAATAGAAAGAAAAATTCTAATTAGCGAAGTTAATGAGCTTTACCAAACTAACTACAATAGCTTAGCGCAGGGGTTGGGATGTATAGCGGCGCCAGCCTAATTTGGAGAAGAAACGGGCGGTTCTTAGTCAGTAAGAGTCTGACACTTTCTGCAACTATATTAAAATTTGAAGATCGTTATTCTTCAAAAAAAAAAAAAAATGTTACACTAGTTTTTATTAGATATGTGTGCTCTGGTAAATTATAAAAACTTACTTATAACTGATACCATATTCAACCAGAATTCTTATCCATGATCCTCCTATATCTACATTTTTCCTTTTCCCGTCATATCAGGTACCGGACCCCCTCATTAAAAAGCCATTTTAATGTTGAAACGATTTCATTAATATGCCTCGTATATATCTGATTTTCTTTTTGTCTTACGCAAACGAGCATCCTTATATTCAGATGGTAAGCAATTGACGCCGCCCATGGACACCCGCTAAACCAGAGGAATTACAAGTGCGTTGCCGGTCTTATGGCGAAAAGGGGTTTTAGGGAATCTAGGATTTGGGTATGGTCGGTAACCTCACTCAAACGGGAAAACACAACCCTGTGGCTGTTTTACGCCGTTATTTTGTGAGGGCGTGGGATCAACCCGGTCGAGTCGATCCATTCGTACCGAAGCTTGGCACTCCCACACTACCACAACTCTTGTTGGGTTGTACCTTTTGACGGTAATAGTTACCAATTCTTTACAATTAGACGGGAATAAAACATTTATAAAATTGAATTGTAAAATGCTGAAGTCGATTAAAAATAGACATTATTAATCACCAACAATATCAATTAGTGCTATGGCTTAGCAAGGTATCTTTTGCAGAGGTTAAGTTAGGGTGTGATTTCAACACCTGCCATATCTATCTTTTCAAGAAAGTTATAGATTTAGTAAATTTGTAAATATTTCACAAATACTTGGCGATTCTAAGATTGCCCTAGGCCGGCCTGTTGCCGATCTTGTCTAAGATAGGTTATTTTCTCATATAGATGAAGATACCTATATTTTTGTTTATCGTCGAATCGCCTTTTAAGCTTACTCATAAATAGAATAGTCCTTATAATTCATACTTTTTTTGATATGATTACTTACTCTTTGACGTCATCCGGGTATATTAGGGACACAGGTGTTTGAGAAAGAAAAGAAAAAATGATTTATAATTTCGTAAATATATATATTTAATTTTATATCTTCCATCAATACATACAACGACACTTATACATTCAAAAATTTGGCCGTAACTACTATAGGTCTCACTTACAATGGCTTCGCTTACAAGTAAACGTGTAGATATATTTATTAGCACAAAAATGGGAGCAAAACACAATTATATTAGACTATTGTCTTATTATAAGTAGATACAGACCTATGCGAACTGGAGTCAGACCAATCGAATTGTTAATACGGGGAAGACATCGTTTTACATTTGTGTTACATTTAAAATCGAGTGAACAGCACCGTGTGAAAGAGCAAGACAAAAAGTTTCACAAATTCTAACCTACCAACCGCATTGCACGAAACGAAACAAGTATCATATTGATGGAGGAGAGATATTTTACAAAATAAAACTTATCGACATATCTTCGGTGTACGCTAGGAGCTATAAAAATTGAAAATAATACAACTAATTTAATTTCATAACTAGTAAGACATTACAATCCCTTACCACGAGATCAGCGACAAGTTGACGTCACCCGGAGTTGCAGCGTTCACGTTAAGTTGTTGGACTATTGTAGAGTTACGGAAACAATCGTCGATAAACTAATTCAAATACCATAATCACTTCAAAGCAGACGATGAGAAGTCCCTTTGGTAATTTTGTCACATCCTTACCAATTGGTGGGAATTTAGATTTAATAATCTTTGGACTAAAATCTCTGACAAAAATCGTTTAATGTCCGTCCTCATTCTGACTACTCATTATTTTAATCGCATATTGCAACAATTTGCGAATTAAACATACAACACTTAATAACTACTATAATATAATACCTAATTATTTTATAAAGTAACAAAATTAACTTATATTTACAGTTATCATTAAAATTATAGTAAAATTTTACTATTTTAGCACTAAGTTTTGATTATCTCGCTGAATTCTATTCTTGTGTAGTGAGAATTCAAATAATTGTTGTGTCGCAATGTTCGTGGACGCTTACTTATCACATTGACTCGATACATAGAGAATAACATAAAGAAGTGCGTCCAATACAATCGAAACGAATATTTGCGAACCCAAAAATGAACGAACAAGTTTTCAATAAGGCACCATTGGTTACGTGGGTACAAAGTATATGAATGTAATATATAAGGTGAACAATAACATACAACTCTTCCGTGTTAGCCTTCATTAGTTTGTTAATTATATTCCACTGGTGGCTGCATATGAGATCAAATCCATTTTAATATTATGAAGTTCTAAAAATGAATATAAAACCTTAATGATTGTTATAGGCGCGGGGCCTTGTTAGCAATTAGCTTTTGAAAACACACTTAGGTAAGTCTGGGGCGGAGTCGCCCGATCTCTTCTTGGAGTCATTGAGTACGAAATGTCCGTACAGCAGTAGGAGACAGTCTGTGTATGCTGGAGATGTGTAGCTAATAGTACGTTGGGTTGGAGGTGTTCTGCGAAAGGAGCAATGGGGAGCGGGGCGGCGCGGGCCTCCTTCAGTCCTCGTCTTTCTTCTCCATTTTGGGTTCATACATTGCGTGCAGTTGCTCAGGTGAGATGCTGCAATAGAAAGGATTTTATTAGTTAAATGAAAAAAAAAACGAAATAAAAGAACTATAAGTAGGACTTAAAAGTAAAATAAGTTATGAAAATTTGTCTTGATTCAACAACTTTAGTTGACTTGACTTGTGCATTTAATTTGTTCCTCCCATTCATCTCTTTCACTGCCTTCCTTCCATCATTCGCACGCGACGTGTATAAGTGGAATTTACCCTAACAAGCTCTGCAGGTCACACACGAAGCGGTACACGTAACGTTTGCCAGCCGTCTTGTGGATGATGTTCTTGTCGTAGTAGTAGCGCAGTCCACGGGACAGTTTCTCATAGTTCATCTTCGGCTTGTTTTTGCGGATGCCCCAACGCCGAGCCACCTGAAATGTAGATTCTTCATTAGTTTTTGTAGTTATGTGGTAAAAAAATCTATATTGTCTGTATGTTATCTTCTTGTGCGAACAAAGAGGTTTGTTATCTCAAGCGCTGGGAGAAATCTCGTAAAAAATGGCCATCTTGTTGCATAAGTTATAATGCTCCTAAATAAAGCCATAAGAACTAATATCAGTCTAGAAGCTAACATACATAAAAAATAAAACATTAAATCCATCTTACCTCATCAGGGTCGGTGAGTTTGAACTCCCAGCCGTCACCAGTCCACGAGATGAATCCCTGGCAACTTTTGTCAGTCAACAGCTCCAACAAGAACTGCCAAAGTTGTATCGGCCCTGATCCTGTAAACGTGCCACACAGTTGCTTTACGATATACGACTGGCAAGGGGTATAGAAAAGATGGAAAGAGCCTTTCGGAACATTTGAATACAAAATTAGTGTTATATGGTAAAATTAAAGAAGTGAATATGATAGGGGTGTTTTCAATTACCAATCAAAAGCAATGGCTAATCCGCTAGGATTAAGATCGGTTTTCGACAGTTGAATGTCTGTCAAAGATCCAGATTTACTATATAATAGTTTAAGATGGCTTGTTGCTGAATGGTAAGAAGTGAAAAGATACTTCGAACGGTGCAAGAACTATTTCACAGGTCTATTTCAAACTGAATGATAAGTAAACATACCGGTGAAGCAGGGTCCTGTAGCAGGGTACGGGAGCTTGTCCTGGGGAATGAGTGCGTGCTGGTCTGCAGGCCACTCGTTCCATTCTGCGCATGCGCCACCGTACTCTTGTACGTAGCTCTCGCCATAACCCTCGCCACCGTATCGGCCGCCAGCGCCTGCGCAAATCAAAATACACTATTACATACAAAGCTTTATAAACAACAATTTTATAAATATTATAAATTGAGAAATAATGAACTGAACATTTTGTCGGATCACCAATTAGTGCGGTCCAGCGACGGTGACAAGACAAATAACAAAGTAATATGATCACAGCTAAATAATAAGCACATGAAAGGTCCGATTCAGTTTAACGACGCGACGTTGTAACAGTACACCGGACCGCATCAATTAAAGTGACCACGTCACTTGTCTACCGATCTCTTACAACGAGATAATGTCCATGTTTGTTTTTAATTACGGTTGCGTGATTTTATCACTGTGCACTTATAAATTTATATTTACTTTGTGCCTGCTTTCGAGGTAAAATACTGCACAATGACAATGGTGTCTTGAATTTTGCCAATATTATTAACTTTCCGGACCTTTTTGGATTGAACAAGAGTTTAGAGATGAGCAGATGCTTATACAGAGTTAATGAGAGAATCGGAACCTACCTCTGGGATAAGGCTTGCTGTATGCATGGGGCTGGTATTTGGGCTCGTGTGTGAGTAACGGCTGGGAGTGCGCGTGCGCATGATGGTAGTATTCGTCGATGTAGGGCTGCGCTGGGGGCGCAGGAGGGCCGGGTGGGTACTCCGGGGGGTAGTACTCGTCGAGGGGGGAACCCGCTGTTGGTGCGGGCGCAGCTCCACCGCTCGGTTCCGAGTACCCGTAGGCGTTCGTCTCGCGAGGACCGCCAGTAGTGTAGCCGCCTGGAACAAGTGACAACATTATTAATACAATGTGATGGAACATGAGTGTTTTGCAAGTCACAAAATGTCTTGAATTAACACTACAGCTTCTCAAGATCAGAATAGAGGCATTTTGCAAGTATCGGTACTAATTACTACGTAATTTGCTCCGTATTATAATTGCTACGAGCGCTACGAGGTGCTACGAAAGAACGTTCGAAAGAAAATACCTTAGAATTGTGTTCTAAAAACTATTGGCATATGTATAACTGGCATGTAGCGGCTCTGTTATATCAGTCAGACAAAATTTCCATGAAAAAAATCAGTACGGCATGCATATCGAGGCGTGTTGGCGGGCACGGGGTACCGAAGCGCATCGGTCGCGGTTCACGGCTCGCCCTTTGTTCTGCGCGTGCGCTGGCGACGCGACGGACCCACACATACCCCTCCCCCGTCCCCCTCGCTTCACCCCGCACACTTCTCGACACCCTCGCGCCATGTAGTCACGATATAACACCGACCGATTGAATTGAGGTTTGATTTAATTTGCAAATGGTGATTAGACTAGGAAATTGTTTATGGTTGAGGCAAGCGAGTATTATCGAGTTTTTATATTTTCTTTTCATAGGCAAAGGTAACGAATCCCTTGTGTTGTTAATGTAGTTTGTAATCTAGGTGGAATTATTCATTTATCGATCTAATTTTTAGATTAATTTTCTACTCGATTCAATGTTAGTGAGTAATTTTCCGTACAGATAATAAAATATCTTCAGTTTTTTTTATTGAATGTGAGTAGTTAACATCCCTATTCACGCAGTCTGTGATTGAAACGTTTAACAATAGAGTATGTACATACATAGCGTGTTTATTGTGTGCGTGTATGTCTGTGTGTGAGCGGGGTCACCAGTCCCATTGTGTGCCGTTTGACCGATGTATCACATCTCGTTTGTAGATCAAGTGGGATCATTGATGCTGACTCAACTGGAGGGATCATTCATATACATGCATTATCATTGATGAATGTGAGCTTTAAGGGATGCATTGTCTTTTGTACCTATATATAGAAATATAGAATACTTGTCTTCTTTGCGTATAAAATAAGCTATAAGAACTTTGCACATATCATATATTATGCTTAAAAGAAAAGTGACCTAACTCACAAAAGAAAGCATTTAAATCTTAAAAATTATGTTTCTATAATAAGGTTCAATTTTGAAGTTCCCTCTTTTACGGTTTAGTTCTGATTTCTTTTAAAAATGCGATGTATGTGATAGAGTTTTTCATTCTTAACCTGTTATGTAGTTTTACTGGCCTAAAGACAGCCATACAGTAAACACACAATGATTCTATTTACTAGCATTTTTATATTGAAAGTATCTACAGGAGAAAGAAGTATCTATTCATTTATAATACTTAAGGCTTGTTTTATAAATTAAAGATCTTGTTTTATAGAATCTGGATAGGTATTATTTATAATCCCATCTATACTAATATTATAAAGAGGTATATAAGTTTGTATGTTTGTAAATTTGTATGTAGGTTTTAATCTTTGAAACCGCTGGTCGGACTTCCAAATTTCTTTCACTGATAGATAGCTACAATGTTCCTGAGTGCTATAGGCTATAAAACATCACGCTACGATTAAATGGAGCCAAGCAGCGGGTAAAACCACGCGCGAGTACCTAGTAATATGTAAGGTTCCGAAAGAAACCGTAAGGGTATACCCAGTAGGTACCGTTTCCCTTCTATTCGGAACATTCGGAAGACCTCATTAGAGTGGGAGAAGTAAATAAAGGAAAATAGCGTTTTATACACGAGATAAGTATATACAAATAGGTAGCACATTTGTAACTAAATAACATAGAAGAGCTCATCAGCCAATCAACCAACAAGCAAAAATAGACCTTATAGCGGTAAAAATAGAGGTGTTGGTTTAAGAGCTGGTCATGGACGGTTGCACCTAGTTTTCAAATGTACTGATATTGTGGTCAATGGCCAGTGCTTCAACAAAGTGTGACCATAAATATCACTCTCAATATGAATGTTTTTTTTAAGTTCTTTATTTAAAAAGTGGTTCTAGTTCAGAAGAGTACACTGTGAAGGTTTTGTGATATTTGGACCACAAAGAAAAAAAAAATTTTTTTTCTCCGTCTTTTGAAATTGTTTCTTTTTTTTTGCGTGACGTTTAACAGTGCCTACTGTTCTCCATTTGAATTAAATGATGTTGACTTTGACTTTGATTGTTGAATTGTTCGTCAGTGTGTCCGTCAGTTAAGCTAAGTGCTCGTTTCAAAATGTAGATTCTTGTATAGAAGAACGAGCAAAAAACTGCGTATAGAATGATATTATAGTTCCGAAATTAATTTGGATATGAATGGATTCATAAGCTTAGGTAGGTAAAATTATACAAGTGCGTACGTACGTTGTGTAGATACTAAATTAGCTAGCAATTAGACTGCACTTTTTCAAAAACTAGACGTAGGTACCTGCTTGCCTATATGGTTAGTTAGTTTAAAAGAGAGGTACCTAACTATGTTACAGCAACAGTCAGCCATTTTGAAAATAATTAAATATCAACATAAGACATTAATGTATCAACACACTTCTAAATAATTAAAATTAAAAAGCTCACAGTCGATTGGAAAACAAAATGTGTCGTCAAGTTCCCGAACATTTTCTTTGTAGTTTTAGTATGAACACTTAATTACCGTGGTAAGGTTAAAGTTTCAACTAAAAGTAGAAATAGATGTTTTTTAACGTAACAAATGAGGCGTTGGGCATAGACAAGAAACGTGTAAACAAATCACGGCGTGTCAGAGACAAAACGCAAGAATTTTAATGAAGCAATTGTTGCAACGAGGCAAAGGTATTAATCTATAAATCCTCGTTGGGTGGAGAACAGCTCTCTTGGGGATGACGCTTGTGACCTTGTTGACTTTTCTCGGAATGTTTTTGTTGGTATTTTTATATTTATTCAATGTAAGTGAAGCAGTGGTGCAGTGGTGACGTTTTATAGAACATCGAGAGGACTGAGATATTTCGGGCTTTTTTATAAGTAGTTGTTTAAATTATTATTGAATTACTCAGCAGTTATCTAAACAACTTTCAAGATGAATCCAAGATATAAGACCATTTAGTCATTTGCTGACAAGCTTTTAACAACTAGAATAAACATCCGTTAAAGAACCTTCTTTCTGAAGAGGTCGACTGAAAAAATGAAAGTCGTTTATCGATTGATATATAAAAATGTACGGCGAGTCGGTAAGAAAAGTGCGCGTCGGTCCCAGCATCACAGTTCAGAGAGATCGAGTAGTGGGGCGTGGAGAGGGGCGGGTGCGGGGGGCGGGGTGGGGCGGGGCGAGCCAATCGGGCGCGGCCACGCCCCGCGCGCTAACGCTCGGGTCGAAAGGTCGCCGCTCCACAGCGCCATTGGCTCGCCTCGCAGATCAATTTCAAATAGAAACAAAATGTAAGATCAACTGAGACTTGACAATTGATCAGCAAATATATGTTTTGTCTCTACATTTCGTAGAGCCAATGACTTGTAGAGTTGTAGAGCATCATCAAGCCTTTATTCTTAAAGTATTTACTTACAAAGTACAATGTAAATAGGCACGAGGCTGACGACTTTACCTACTGTTAAGGCTTTGATCTTGAGAAATTCAGATCAAAGCTTCAATGTCGAACCTGAAGATGGATGTAATTTAGATTGGTGATTTTAATAAGCATTAATATAGATTTTAGCTATAATCCACGTTTAGGAATGTTCCAATATATCTAGGTACATGTGGATTAGGTAAACACCATCATTAATATCACTGAAGTTATAAATGAGAGTAGCATTTAAAGTTGGTAGGTAAATTAATTAAGCAGATTTCATATCGTTAATTTTACTAGTAAGTGCTATATGCTATATTGGTTTAGTACAGATATCTGGAGGTAATTATACCAACTGAAGAAATAACGATCTACAATACAGAAAAATATTTAGCAAAAGAACACAATTACAGTTTGAAATTCGAATGCTTAAAATCTACACAGTGACACAAACGTCAGCTGTCATTAAACGAAAGTTTTTTAAATAAAAAATAGTTTAGTTTTCCACAGGTAGGTACTTACATAATGTTCTGGGCTTGTCTAGTAGGCAAAAACATATCATAAAGTTAGGTATAAATAAGTACGTATAGCTGTTTCCGTAGACAAAAGATCACGTTGTGTAATTGTGTTGCTATTTTAAACATCATTGATAGCTTCGGGAAATCACAAGTATCAAGAACTGAGGAAAATAGGGAACCACATTGTAATTAGGGTATTACGGAGGAAGTTCAGTAGATTCAAATTAAGAAGGAAACACTACAGTGGACACAAATGCAAAAGAATCAAGACTCTTGTAGATCTCGCTTAGTTCGACATCATTGAAATAGGTAGGTATTGCCAGCTCACAAAAACAACCATAAAGTGAGGAATACCCAAGACAGTAACCTTAGACCTAACGGCAGCTGCGACACGACTTTGCGGACTTTTTTATTTATTATCTGCGACGAAATTCGAGCCGCGAAAACTTTGAGTCGATTTTTTGTAATGGCGAGCACGCGCTAAGCTGCCATATGGCGCCGACAGACGAGCAATAACGACGTTTTTGTAACCATATTTTGAAAGTTCATAATTGTAGGCACCTTTATTCTTATTAGAATCAAGAAGGAACAATAAAGTCATCTATTCGCAGTCAGTTTTCGACTTAAATGTCTATTTAGTTTGAGTTGATTACATAAGCCCAGCACAAAATTTTAGTGATCTAAATTCGAACGTATTTTATAATCGCGAAGAGACGCATATCGCGCCAATTCCCATTTGGGAACGGAAGTCGAAATATGAATTTTTAAAATTAGAATCAAATGCGGTGCGCAGGTGAGCGGCGTGACAAGCCGCTGTCGACGACAGGCCGCCGCGCCGCCCGGTGTTTTGACATAAATAATTTGGCCTCATTAATTAATTAAAAATGTAAATAGTTACAATTAAGG